GAGAAATATATTCCGATCTTACACTGAACTGAACAAATATCCTCGATAACAAAAAGCAAAAGGATAAACCGATTACAGAAGCAGAATATGAATTATAGTGTGAAAATTACAGATTTAATGTTTTGGTGTGTCTTTTTATTTTTACCTTCCATTTTAAATTTGATATAATATTATCGACAATCATTAGTGTTACATTGCCCATGTGAACTCCGTGAGGGAATTTTCCGTTTATATGAATAATAAATTGTGCAATATGACGGTATATAAAGATAATAGTAGTTTATGAAGCATTGCTAAACTTATTTCAACACAATTTTTTATGTCACATCAAAATGAATATTTAAAAATTCCAAGCATACATGTATCTTATTTTAGGAAACAATGGACAATGAACCAATCAAAGCAATAAGTAACATCACCGGCTTTGGTTAAAGGCTCCCCCGACATCACAAATTACTTTGGAATTATTTGCATGATTTTAGAACTCATTCGAGCACCGCCTAACCCGATACTAAGTAAAAGTTATATATTTCTTTTGGAATCGTTAAAGACATTTTAAGTGGCAGAAATGTGTTTTCTTTTATCTCTTTCAAGTGACCGGGGGAACTGCTGAGACATTTTTAGATCTTTTAAAAACTATTCGTATTTCATCATACAAGCCTCTTAAACTTCTTGCAAGAAACAGAGTTATTTTTGTGCTTATGTGGTTTCGAACATACCAGAAGTTTATGATGCTTTCGTCATTGTTCAACATATCAGTGCCAAGTGCGACAATGCAATATATCCCGTTTTTCTATCTACGTCTAAAAGATGTGTCGTTTTGCCACAGGTTCATGAGTGGTTAGCCATAAGGGGCACCAGGAACAGAATTTTGATAGCCGTGATAGCAATCGATGGAACTTCTTATGGAATCAGTAGCCCTATGCACGAATGAAACACACGAACAGTTTTATTCGGGAAATCGAATGTAATGCCCAATAGTATTAATGTTACCTAAAATCGGCACTAATTTACCATTTTCATAAGAGTGCGTTGAACTTGTCGATAAAATGTATCTGACTTATGCCCATATTATGACACCATACCCGTCAGCTAAAATACGCCGTAAATAGGAGCCTAAACGGAGAAAGTGCCTAAAAATTAACAGAATAGTAAAATACTGTGTATGTCTTGAACACGCTATATAGCAGAGATTAAACGTTCAGGCCAAATTCTAGTGAATATTTGTACTTATCTAACTTGCCTTAAAAAGGTTATAGCACTTACAGTATTTAATTGAATGATAAATATTTTGAGATAACCCCCGGTTATTATAACCGTTGTTAGTCTCCGGCTATCGTTAACCGTACAAGCTGTAAATCTCTATTAATTAAAGGAGCGGCTTATCATTCCTTCAGCTCGGATAGTGGACTGGCTTTTCTCAAGAAAGGAGACAGAGTATCGGTGAAAATTGGATCATCGTCAAAAGACAATAGACTGTGGAACTGTTTGACATTAGGATGGAGCACCTTCTCTGGTGTACTTATAAATGAGACTGAATTACCTTTCAGTACATAATCAAACAGTTAACAACTGAACATAAAGACTCACTAGTAGTCCATGGATACAAAGTCAAATAACTTGTTCGGCACAAGTAGTAGATTTTAAATATCTATATCTTGTTCATATTGTTACCAATGTCTGGTAATTTGTGCACCAATATATAGAGAATAATAGGTTGGTGCCGTGGATGGAGAAAGTTTATCTGGCGAGGCGGAGGAATTTATTGGGTGAGCCGAAGGCGAACCCAATAAATTCCGGAGCAGAGCCTGATAAACTTTCTCCATCCACGGCACCAATCTATTATTCTATTTATCCTGTCACCGTTTTTTTTTTTAAAGAATTTTTTTGGCAAACTACCTTTAATCACACTAACGGAAATGTTTCTATATATTCTACAACAATGCACTCGCCGTTCTTATTATCTCCCTGTGTATTTTCACATTGAGGGCGCCATTTTGTTTGAAAAATGTGATAAATAAAAACAATTTTTTGTCGAATTTTGTTGTGAAAACTATCTAGAATGAAAGAAAATGGTCTAACTAAGAAAATGAATTCGAACACCAATATCTTTTATTCAGTCGTTAACGCTGTACAGACGTTTAAAGTATTGTTTACGTGACGTCACAATGTAGCGCCAAACAGCACGTGCAAAACAATCAAATCAAGTACGCTATTTTAATGTCGCAAACGAGTTAAGATTTACATTTATTTCACTTTTAATAATTTTTATTTCGCTTGAAAAATTATAGAGTGAAATAAAATAAACAAACAAAGTTTTATCAACGATTCCAAAATTCGTTATTCTACACACAGAAGATTTAACGACAGTTTATATATTTTTTTCTTGAAAAGTAGTCCGGCAAACATGCATACCACGTGATCAAGTGCCGTAGATCAGTAAAAATATACGGCACCTTGTTATCGGGCCGAAATTGATACAAGTGACAGGATAAACAACTATATAATTTTATAAGTTATACCGATGAATGCTATACATAAATTATTATTTTAAGAAACATGATTACGACATATATACTGACAATTCCATAAATAAACCTATGCTGTAAGCTTTATTGATTCTTAGGAAACTAATTTCAATAAAATATTCATCCGAGAGGTCTTTTTGCAGCTGCATAAATTTAAAAGACAAAAATATTACGACCAGCAAGGTAAAATTATTGAATTTTGATTAAGTTGTCATAATGGTGTTATGTATTTTAAAATTTTAAGTAAATAAAACAACACTTGTTACCGGACGGACATGTTGAATAATTTAGATATGAAATTGACCTTTAAATGACCTTAACGGTCAAAATCTAATGAGTTGATGTTGCATATAATCATGTTCTTTACTTTGTCATTCATTTATGAAAAAGATTCATACTTTGACAAAACATTAAGTGTAACTAGATCGACCTTTTAAAATGTAAAAGAGGGAAACAATTTTTTTTCTATAATTTTCTTTGTATGAGGATCTGTTTAATTAACATTTGTTTTGTTGCTTTTAGAAAAAGTAAAAAAAGTCGAGTGTTTTTGTCTCCGCCCGGCGGTGGCTCTTGTTTGGACAAGTCGCTATATAAATCTGAATAAAAATACAACGCATGTAATATCCTAAATTAACATGCTTTTATAGTAACGTCTCCACTTAAAGTGTTGTTAGATGCCATCCCCGATTATTTTAAGCAGATATGTTACAAAAAATGCAACAAAATGCATTAAAGTACAAAACTTGTACTTGACAAGTATAATAAAAAGAATATATGTTGCATACCTATCCATATATGTACAAATTACACAGAACACAGATGCGTATTTCTTGTCTAGATAGGCCAAACATGGGGCCTTTCAGTAACTCTCTGTGAGAGTGTCGCCTTTGGTCGCACATCGCAGAAAGGGACATCATCAGGAGAAATATTCCGCTTCCATTCAACGAAGTTCATTTACAACAAACCCACGATATTAAATGTACATAAACCTATCTGAGTCACAAGGGCATGACACATACTGAAGTATACAAAATAAAATAATCCCTCTCAGTTGATAAAACCATTTTCGCTGAAAATTTTTTAACTAATATAACGTAAGTGGCTTAAAATTGTCGCAAAAAACGTTAAATAACAGTTGCTTTGGATTCCAACGAGCACTTGCTTAATTTTCATTCGATTCACGCGACAAACGTTTCTATGTAGGTCAAACCAAAAAGCAGAAAATTTCACAAAATCGATTGACCTCCTGGTCATTTAGTAAACAGAGTTTTTCTGCCAATCAGGAAAAAGGAGGCAATTCCGTCTTAGCCAACGGAAACTATTGTTACAAGCGGAACCTTATTTAATTACAGACATGCACTTCAATATTTGCACTCAAATGTATACATGTTCAATAATGACATAGTTATAAATATAAGTCACATTGAATTGGGTATAGTAAGTCGTCTGTTCTAAGGGACGACATCCTTTATAAACTTCTCGACTCTTTAATTTCCGTTAATTTAAAAATGTTATTCATCTAAACTTTATTTATTTTAACTTCGTAAGGGAGTAATCTCGTCATATTCTCGTCTCATTATACGAATATAATGGCCTTTTTGAGACGGAAATTATAGGCCACACATAAACACATGCATAGATATAATTGATTTATTCATACGCATTTTTTTTATAATATTTTAGAAATATGTAAGTTCAAGATTCTCTTTTAAAATTTAAACCTGTCTTACATTTTGGTGATTGTTTTATTGAAACATGTATTGACGGTTGTTGTTACTGAAGAAACATTATTGTTGAAATAAACTTTATTCAACATTAACTACAGTTTTATAATTATGTTGTTTTTTTATATGCAGGGTTCTCAAGGTGTTGTTTTGGATAAATATTAAGTTAATGAAAATGAACGAAAAACTGAAGAAAAACTTTTATTTATATAGTAACTGGTGAGCTCGGTGTTTCAATTATAACTAAAACTAGCAATCTGCAGTTGCACATATAGGTTGAAAAACATTTTAACTGTGTGCCTAATAGATACGTCAAAAGACTGAGTAGCAACAACGAAAACAGATTTGTTTATTCTCAATAACGAGGATGGGTCTCAATTGAAGCACTGCCTCCGAATCAAGTAACTAGTCCCCGAGACGATGGGGTTATAAGGCAGACGCACAGACATACAGGCCATAGCTTTTAGTGAATTAACAAACAAACGTTTCACTCAGTGCAATGCGAATTATCATGTATTATCGTACATGTATCGTGTAATAATGCACCAGCTAAGCGGGTATAAATTTGTTTATTTAAATTATAGATTTTAAAGCAAAATATGATTTTAAAGAATGATAAAGGTATGAATAAAAGGATTCCTGTTACACAAGTTTAAAGTCTCTTTTGCAATGAAAAGACACACATAACTTTGAGGATTTCTTTTGTTATACAAAACATTACTCGTTATCTTCCGGCTTCACTTCCTAGTTGATTGAATATTTCAAACGCTCTCCACTGGATCACACCTCAGCTTTACGTCTTTGAAGAAGGTTATGATGGAAAGAGCAATTCTTTGCGTATTTCTGAGTTGTTTGGCATTTCTGTCACCATCTAGAGCTGACGGCGGGTCTGAAACATGTCAGGTTTCTAAAGAAAAACAGTTGCTTGAAGAAATGATAAGAACGCAGTTAAAAGCTGAGGCAATGTTACAAGAGATCAGAAAAACAGAGGAGCATGTGATATCCGTTTTGGAGTATCGTAAGCAAGATGTACAAAAAAGTCTCGAGGATCTGAGAGAAGATCAAGCAAATCAAAAGATTGAAATTGACAATCTAAAGACGGAAAATGCTTATTTGCAAGAAAAGATCCAGGCTTTACAAGGTACGTTTTTTTTTGTTTTTTTTAATGTTTTATTGTGTATATATTGTCGTTCTGTTTTCATAACTTGTTACGTATGTATGATTCAATTTATGTGTCATTCTCTGATTTTAAGACGCACTGTGCCAGGCAACAAAAGATACACAAGTTTTTATACATATATGATCGTTAGATATACTAAACAAATGTTTGGCATTCTTTTAAAAGATGTAAATTATAAACCGTGTATGACACTCTTCAAAGCGACAATCATCTTTAGCATTTAATTAAATGTGTTAATAGTATCCATATTTAGAGAACTAGATTCATCAAAGCGTACAAACAGCCTCTTGTGGCAGTTTGATTGACAAACCAGTTGAAGACTTGAAAAAACAAATGGTAAAAACTTATTCCAGTTTCAAACCAGTTTTACAAAACAAAAGGAGAATTTAACAAACCGGTCTGAAAGACTGAAACCCTACTGTTTGTTATACACAAACGCACCCTAAGTAGAAAGTCGTGAGATTACTTTTATAAAGCAAGTGTTGATGTACTATGTATATTTCTAATGAATGCTCTCTTTTCAGAATCCACCAATCCAGTACCGGTCGTATTTTTTGTTGCACGTGGCACGAATTCCTCAAACATTAAGAATGGACAAACGTTAGTATTTCCAGTGATTCTCAACAACAAGGGTTCCGCCTTTAACAATGAAACAGGAGTGTTTACTGCGCCAGTGAGTGGGCTTGTATTCAATTCAAGCGTTACATTTGTGTATTTTGGGTCAGGCCAATATGTGGGATCGACATTTGTTTTCCGAAAATTTGATGTTTATTATGAAAACGCGCTTGGGACAGATGGAAGGCAATATCTTACCATTCTTGCAGCTCTGTCAGTGGAAACTTGCTCTTCTTCAAAAAGGGGGAAATAAAGTCTGGGGTAAAAAGTTCCATTCGTCTTTCGGATGGAAATAACCTTTGGGTTTTTAATACACCTTCAATTTTGCCCCGAAAACAACATTTCACCAGGTCTTACTTATTAATTGAAAAAAGTGAATTAAAACATTCAATATTTCATATCAAGTTCTATACAGTAGACAAATCGAATTAAAAAAAAAAAAATTAAAACAGAATCATTAGTTATGGAGACAATGAAAAAGTATTTTTGATGATGTCATCAATCTTTTCTTTTTTCACCAAAACACGACAACGTAATTTTTACAGGTTTAGATTATACATGCATTATCTATAAACGGTATATTTAATAAATTTATCAAAGAAAGATGATATTTGCTTGTATATGTATTGAGACTTGATGGTATGCGGCAATGTGTTTCTTAATAAAGTATTAAGGCTTAATTTAATTAATACATGTACATGTACTAGCTATTTCCTTTGAATCGTGACACGTAGGGCTTTTTTAAGATTTGGATTGTTGACAGGCTAGATGTTAAATATTTTAAAGCCGTTTTACTCTGACAAATAATTGATAGACCATTAACCTGTTAAAAAGCAAAAATGGTATCAGGATCGATAAAGATCGATAAAGATCGAGGTTCCGGGAAAAAATCAAGAATTGGACGACATACATGTATGATACAAAAGCATTATTTTAACAGAAAACGGTTTTTGGTAATTTTTAAACGATACTCTTGGAGTAAGGAGAATAATTAGTAGTTCTAGCTAGAGTATTATAATAAATGAACCTGCATAATTCAATAAACCTTTATTTGATAACAGACTGTACTGTAGAGGAATTCTTTTTGTTTCGGAGGGGGGCATATACATCATGTAGATCGTTAAAGCCTTAATTGTTCAGGTTACTCAGCATTTAAATAGAAATCGGACTGTTATTTTTTTCTTCAATATAGTAACTGTTATGTTGACTTATGGCTTTTGTTTTAGAAAAATTTGAAATAAGAATTAAAATAAAAAATAAAAACAATTTGAAATGATGTTTTCCTACATTGAGCGCATATTTAAAATATATTCAAGAAACACAACAGTCATGTACGTAACAAATGACATATTGTACAGTGCGAAAAGTGAATTTGAAATAGATTATTCATATTCACAAAAAGGCATAAACGGTTTAACACCCAGTTGCTTCAATTTTAGAATCTTTTGGGTTGAATCAACCCCGTTTCTTGATCCTTTCTGGCAGGCCTTTTTTCTTCCCAGGAAATCCCATTGATTTCCAATTTCTTTTACATTTTTTTTGGTTTTTTAGACTTCACTTTTATTTTTGATTTACTTTCTTGGTCATGAAGGAACCCCTTCTGACCAATGATTCAACCCTACTGGTATCTTTATTTCTCTTAGAATAAGGATAAAACGTATTGACTATTACAGAATTGGCATTTCGTTTTCACAAGAATATCGTCTCAATCTTTCAAAGCAAACTTGTAAATAGAAAAATGTTGGTGTTTCCATGGTTTCCAGAGATGTAGATCGATCTGGTGTTTCAAGATAAACTGAGCACTGTCCAATATATGTCCCGTAGTTTTATTATGTATCATTTCATGAAAATAAGTGAACAATACATTTTTCAGAGAGAGAGAGTCACAAGTTATTTTGACCACTTTGGACTACTTCCATTGAAAAATATCCAAATCAGTTCAGCAACGGGAAATTTAATAATCACAATCTACCCTTTTTGTCGTTAAAAGTTTTGGGTAGGTTCAGCCTTTAATTGATTAATTTCCTTTAAATTTAGCCGAGTAACATTTTTTTGAACCACCGCGTTTTGAAAAAATTACTCCCAAAATAAAGAAAATTTTATTTTGGTCATTACTTTTAAAGAGTCTATGTAAGGGTAAAATGAAATATTTCGATTAATTAAAAAAAAAAGTTTTATTTATGATGAATTCACACAAATGCTGGCTTTTAAGGCGACTTGCGAAAAATTCAATGTATTTCCATTTATTCGTTACCCACACTTTTTCCGTAAAACCAAAAAAATTTCATATGATACGGAAATAGTTGTATCGTGGACTAACCAGTTCTCAAACCTCTAAGCATTCAACAGGTCTTTTAGTGTAAATAAAGATATATCTTTAATATGAAATTAGGCAAAGCCTATGAATGGGGAAGTCGGTATTTTTATTTTACATTTTCCGTTTTAAAAGTGCCGTTTGGTATTTTATACACTGCTTCCGTTTGTTCTGGTTTCCCCTGGTGTCCGACGAAAATTGGCCCGAAAAGGGGGCCTTGCTCGCCCAAAGCGAGCTTTACCGGGTAACGCGAGGTACCTCTTTAAGTGGTGGTTTTTTTTGAAAACTTTTCGGCTCCGGAAAAAGTACCGAATTGGACACATCGCAAAACTGTTCAATTTAAAGATTTAACGATAAAAAACTGAAGAGGGAAATTCTGACTGAAAACGGTATGTGTAGACTTTGGTCACGCCGGGAGAAACGCGCCACATCTATGGGAACCTAATATTGTGGACAGGGAACCAGGAAATTGAATTTGGAAAAATCCTTGATAAATAAAAAACTATTTTTTTTTTGTTCGAATTTTCGTTGGCTTGAAAACTATTCTAGAATGAAAGAAAATGGGTCTTTAACTAAGAAAAATTGAATCCGAAACACCAATAATTCTTTTATTTCAGTCGTTTTTACGCTGTTACAGACGTTTTTAAAGTATTGTTTTATGGACGTCACAATGTTAGCGCCAAACCAGCACGGTGCAAAACAACGCTATTTTAAAAATGCGCAAAAACGTTTTTTAAGCTTTGAACATTTATTTCCACTTTTTTTAAATCCTTTATTTCGCCTTTGAAAAAATTAAAAGATTGAAAAAAATAAACAAACAAAGTTTTTAACAACGTTTTTTCAAAACTCGTTATTCAAATTTAACGACATTTTTGATATTTAAACGCAGTACGTGTGACGGTTCACACGCCACTTCGTCACTGCATTTGAAATAAAAAAAAGGGAGCGATTATTTTTCATTTACTATTTCCCCCCGTAAAAAGTTACATCGAGCTCGCTTTTGCCTTTTCTCATATTGAAATATGAAATTAGGCAATGCGCCTTATGAATTGGGGGAAGTCGTTAAAAATTCCTTTCATTCTTTCCGTTTTAAGGGTGTCATTCGGTATTACATGCACCGCTTCCGTTTTTCATTCGGAACACACGACGATTATCATTTATCCAAAAGTTGAGATTTGTTCCGTTATCGGAATACCCCGCAGCCGCCTATTATCATTGAGTTAAAATTGTAATAAGGCGGCGCCCGACTAAGAAACTGACACTGAAAATTTCATTTGATAGGTATAGAATTCTATATATTTTTTTCATTGTTTTTTTATTTGATTTTTCTTTTAAATATACACGTGTGAAGTCTATAGCCGGGCAAGCCAAAGCCCGGACCCGCTTCGGCGGCCCCGGTCTTTGACTTCCCCTATAAAAAATTCTTTACATATTTTACACTTTCATCTTTATGTAAAACATTTCTGTAAAATTCGACTGAAAAATTCAACAAATTAAAAAAAAAACTCATTTCCATCTTGGAAAAGCAACAACCCTCTGTTTTAAAACTGACATGGCCTCTTAAAATAAAGAACATAATCTCAAACCCTTCAAGTATCTCTAAAAAATTCTACTGTTTAGTTTAGTCAATTAAGTGATTGTTATATGACTATCACATGACAATGAAGTACCCTACACGCTTGCAGCGTACCTGCTTTAAGATATTTTTGTCTATAATTTTCATTTTTCACAAATAGTTAATGGTGTATTTTATGGGACTTTACAAAGGTAATAGCAGTTTGCTATGAAATTACGCTAAGTAATAAAATATGTTATGTAAATATTTGTTCCTATTCACTGTTTTCATTTGACATCAGCAGACATGTCTGTCAGAAACTAAGCTTTTATGAACACAAGTTCAGGACATCATAGTCATTTCTAGTAAAAAAATAACAGCACATGAATGAAAGGTTTGAGAATAGGTTGGGTGTGAGATTAGGTACTTTTACGATAACAAATAAGAGTAAGAGTTGTGTTTCAGTGGACATTTAGTGTAAGTATATTTAATTTATGCCAGCTTTTGTGGTAACGTTACAAATTAAACTCTGGGTAATTACATCTACTGATGAAGTATTATTTTTTCAACCAGTTGACAGTTCAATAAACTTAGTTAAGTTAGTAAGGAACCTGCATGCATAATATATAGAGTCACTGTACCTGTGCTCGACCAGCCCAGTGATCAACCAATAGATCTATTTGTGTATGATTTAAGCATTAATGTGAAAAATCCTCGTAGTTTGTGTGTGCTATTTGTACCCGACCTGTAATCTCTACACCATGTACATGATCTCCTAGTCCAAATATTTAGACGTAACCGCGGATTTGAAGCTATTTTTTACATGGGTCAAATCCGCTTTTCCGATAAACGTCAAAATGTAAAAAAAAGAAAATGCGATGTTTTTCAATGAAGGACTTAAGATCTCCAAGTTAGGTAGAATCTTGGTCATTTTGCAGATGATATTAAACAGTACAGAAATGCATTTCTATAATTAATGAAAGTAGCTGTTATAACTATGAATAGTACTGAAATAATGATATATTAGAGCAAATTTAGACAATACCTTGTTAAATTACATTACTCTTACGTTTCTGATTGATTTCCGTAGGAAAAGCCCCCAAAACATTATCAAAACCTGGCTTCCGATACACTGCAAGGGCTATGAACATGTAAACAAATATGGCAGCTGTCCGGTAACAAAATGGGAGGTATCCGGACAATTCCCCTCCCGGACGATTCCCCTCCCAGTAAATTTGAATGTTTTTTCACAACCTGGACATTTCCCCTCCCGTTATTTTTTTACGGCGGACAATTCCCCTCCCGTTTGTTTTTACAGGGCGGACAATTCCCTCCCGTTATTTTGAGCAGAGCGGGACAATTCCCCTCCCGCTGTTTGTCAGAGCGGACAATTTCCCTCCCGTGGCTGTTTGAACATATAATATATGTTATAATATTGTTTATTAAAAGGTATTTTTAATCGACTTTAATACATTTTGCTTGTCTATATTGACATGATATAAACAAACAAAACGCATTTTTTTTTGCTAAAATAATCTTTATTTGGTCAATACATTTCTGCAGCGCGTTAAAATAATTGTAAATAATTGGTTTTGCAATCAAAGGAAAACCATTTAATTAAGGGCAGCATTGATTAAAGATTTTTTATTGACAGTTTTTTTATCTTTAGCAGCAGCGGCAATGATTAAAGGCGGTATAATGTCAAACCTTTGTGAAATAATGATTTCTTAAAAAAATGTTTCGAATCTTTAACAGTTTGTTCTTAAGGAGTAAAAAACTGTTCATTTTAATAAGAATGATTACTAGATTTTTTTTTTTATAAACAGTGGCGGCTAATGATTTTAAGGGGGCCGCTATAATGTCACTGTTTTCCGTTTCTGTTTGGAAAAAAAAAGGAGAGGCGGGAATTTTCCGCCCCTCTTTCTAAATAAAACGGGAGGGGAATTGTTTTCCGTTCCCATTTTAAAAATTATACGGAGGGGGAAAAGTCCAAACCCTATTTAAAATAAAAACGAGAGGGCGAAAATGTCCCGGTTGTGAGAAATTAATAAATTTGGAAAAAAAGGGAATCGTTCCGGAGGGTGATTGTCCGGGGGATTCGAAATGGGAACCCATTTTTAAAAGTGTTTTGTTCCAGTTGTATGTTTACATTTTAATTAATCACCACTTAACTAAAGCTTGCCCAAAGAATTTTATTTTGAAAAAAGTAGGGAATAAGTAATCACAAAACAGGGGTTTTTTTACTAACAAATTGACACCGATAGTCGGTGTCTTCCCCTCGGTAAATGGCCAAGTTTTTTCCCCCAAAAAATTATATTTTTTCTTTAAACTGGATCAGATTTTATATTTACATGGTTTAAAATATTAATTTTCTCCATTTTATCCAGGATAAAACCACCAATTGTAGTTCAAAATAACCAAAAACATTTCAGGAAGCTGCAAGCACTGTCTCAACATGGAGGCAGCCAGTTTTTTTTCTTGGCTATATCCAGTACTGAACGGTACTATTTCTGGAAATCAGTTGCTATCAAAATACTGTCATTTTCTTGGTTATTTTTAGTAAAGTAATATATTTTGTATTTCTTATTATGAAAATGACTTGTATGGAGCTAAAGTGTGTCACAGATACACTATTATACCTATACTGTATTATATTTCATACAAAAATGGAAGTATAAAAACCATTCACCACCATACATATTAAGAATATATGTTATACTGCAAAGAATATTTTGCATGATGATAAAGTTTTTAAGGGGAAAAAGATATAGTTGTAACTCTCTATTATGTAGTTAATTAAGTATATAGTATAAATAACGTTATAATAAATTTTCCCCAAATTGCCTTTTTTCGTATATTTTTTCCCCTCCCTACCAGCGTCTTCCCCTTTTCCTAAAAAAAAACCCTGCAAACTCCCCTGTAACTGTTAATTCCAAAACTCCAATAAAAAACTTTATTTGTCACTGTATAACATTTCCTTCCTGTCATATATACTCTTATATTTACATTTATACACAGTCAAACTAAAATGTTTCAATGTATTTTTGAAATAGAATTCTTAAACATAAAAAGTCGTATCTGTTTTTCAAAAATAAAATTTCTGATAGAGATAAAACCACCTGGTTGAGCACTGGTAAGGTTGCCTGAAAAAATACTGGTTTTAAGCCCTATGTACAACTCTGTGGTAAATTGTAACCTGATCTGTGTCATTCAAATGCTTCTATTTATTGCGAGTATGCAGCGATTTTTTTCCCTATATAAGTGGTACCGAATAACGGACCCATTTACAATCACGAACGGACCTTCACAATTTTCAGACTGGGTCCGACGGACCAGTTCACAATTCTGATGAAATTTCACAATTCCGATTAATTAAGCCTTTAATAACGTATTATTTCCTCTCTTCACATAATGAATGATGCTAAAATTTGCCTGTAGTACTTTGTTTATCTTAAAATGCGTTTAGCCGACCATGATTTCCAGTACAATGTAAATTATGGGTTATTAACTAGTTAACTACATCAACTGCTAAAAAGTTAAATTTTCATATTTTGTAAGGTTTTCTTGTAGAAACACAACTTTGCATACTCATTAATGCTTTTTTGGTTGTTCACTTTTACAATGCTGTACTGCTAACCTCCAAATGTGTATGCCATATGGCCAGAACTTTTGGCCCTCTATATGGATAAATTATGCAAGTAAGTTGGAATAATTTTATTTTGAAGGCAGACAAAAGTCAGTTTGATTACCTAGGTATTTTAACAGGCTGTCCTTTCCTTTTACAGAGTATGTGAAGACCCTAGGACTTCATTACTTGAGATTGATAATTTGAAAATGGATCCAAACACAAATGTGGACGAGAGAAAAGAACACAATGGTCATCCCAAAATGATGTTTTCAGAGGAATCTTTGTCAAAAACATCTGATAAATGTTCAGATAAACAATCTGACTCACAAAATCTGTTTAAAAATGGAACAGATATCGCAAATCACGAAGTCAGTCAGGTTAAAAGTGAACGGAATTCAATTTCACCAGACATGTCTTCTTGTCCAAGGGTTGGTAATAGTGTTGGCCAGCAACAAGCTGTGTGTGAGGAGGATGATAGAAAAAGTAATGGTATGATAGATTCTCACACAGAGAGTGGGTATTTGACTGATTCTGTGATATCTAGGGAAAAGGAGTCCGCACACGACAGTGCTGGTTCAAATACCAGTAATAGTTCGGAGCAGGACATTACTCCTTGTGCTGAAAATTTGATAACGTTCAGTACGTCAAGTAGTAACATGACCAGTCCAGTGTCACCTTACTCTGAAGAAGCATCTATTGACACTGAAAACAGTGCTTCTCATAACACTGATCATGTTTATTTTGATTCTGATGACACGTCGTCTGGACCAGAAGATCATGCGGGTCAGGTGAATAAAATTTATGATGAATGTACAGCAATTATCGATCAAACATCTAGAATAGAGAAATTAGACATAGACAGTCTGGCTCGTATGAATTTGAACTGTGATACTAATGACCTCATGAGTATTGACAATATTATTGCAACTAATTTTGCGCCACCTAGACCCGAAAGCTTATTAATGAAAAGTGGGACTAGGGGGCGGAGTCAAAGTGAGGTTTGCGAACCATACAGTGATAAGTTTAACCTGCCCTGTGATAGTGATATTAAATTTGAAAGCAGGAAACGGAATAAAAGTTCGGGATTTCCAATTCCCCGGCAGAAAGAAGGTGTAATGATATCAGAGGACATGTTGTCAAAAAGCCTTCCTCATGGTAAAGTGGTAAAAAGTGACAGTGGTCTCATAGAGTTTATAGCAGACGATTTGCAGGAGAAAATACGCAGAAGCAGTCCTATGTCAAAAACAGGCAAGTAAAAAATACCATTTTAATTCTGGTACATTTTATAATAATTTATTTTTGTTCAATTTTTTATTAGAATAATAGAAAATAAGTCTGCTATACGTGGAAGAATATCAGTTTTAATTTGATACTCAACACTTGAATATATATATATTGTACCAATAAATATTCATGAATGTATTAAAAAATTAAATATCTATAATGCTACTTTATAAGTTTGTGTAGCTTAAAAGAGCAAATTGTTAAAATTGTTATTCAAACCCTTATTGTGTTTTGTTTTTGTTTTAAAAACCCATGTAGAATAATATTTATCTAATTTTGTTTTAAAATCCATTTTATCAGGATACAAAAATGTATGTCAAATCAATAGTGGCCTCAAACTTGAAGGACTTACAATAAAATACAAATCGCACTGAACATATTAAGTGTATGATAATGTAATTTCTTATATCATCAGCCTCGAGTGATGTGAGCAGCCGTAGATCGAGCATGCTCAGTTTGACGAGCGTTGACAGTATGGCCTCGTCCTCCATGGCAACCTCAATGACATCTGGAATGTCAAGGTCGTATCCACAGTCCCCAGACTGTATCCCTCCAATAGACCCAATTGCTGTACACGAGATAGAGAACCAGGCTAGATTGGTGGCAGACGGTCTTGATCTCATGATGGGAAATCTGAGAAACAATCTTCACCAGGTATTTTATATCCGTGTCTATGAACTTCCAATTTACAATATTTCATACAGAGATCGAAAATAGATCCTGGCACCTGTCAGCTCGTAATAATATAATAATATTATAATGTGTTAATTACGAGTAGAATTTAAGAGAACTCAATGCAGGACGAGTAGAAAACTGTTCCCTGCACATTGGTTTTAGAAGCTACTAATCCTGCTGGACGAGTGACTCTGAAAATACTTTTTGATGCCTGCCATAGTTACACGTGTGTTTACTAAACAAAGCTGAAACATCATCATTGTTGTATTGGTATTACCTTCATACATGGAACTGATTGCTCACTGGTAAGTGGTTTAATTTGGAGATTGAATCCCATCCAAGGCCGAATCTGACCTGATGCATTTGCTTCTTTAATATTTGTTAGCTCATTTGGGCTGCTGGGTGCCAGGAGTTTGCTTAAAAACTGAATTGGTTTCAGATTTCAAAAACGGAAATGGTTTCTGATTTATAACAAAAATGGTTTCTGACTTGAAAATAAGTCATTCTGTCATCATAATTAAGGAATTTCTGACCACCCAGTACTTTACACTTTCTATTGAATGAAAATGATGGAAAGGGGATAATTAAGATCATATAAAATCTCAGTATAGAAGGGTTAAGCCATATTTTTGGTTTTTCAAAGTTTACTGTTATGACCAAACCATTTTCACTATTTTATAAACTGTATACATGATGATTTTGTTGATATATGATGTAATAAAGAGGTATAATTATGTTTTTGGTAAGATAAATTTTATATACTTTGTATTATAGATGTCTGCGATCAGTGTTGGATGTGAGGAGGCATATAAAACATCAGTTGATGTCACATGCGATTCAGTGGATGCCAGTATTAAGGTACGTTCACATGTTATGTTGTTGACAAATAACTGGGAACAGTTATACTTTTCTCATTTAGACTTTATATCCATTCTTTGCTGTAAGTTGAAGTTAGTGTGTAGAGAGTCCCATTTGATTGGTTATGCCTTAATGGCTCCATTATACTTTAGTAGTTAAAATCGGTATGGGTCACACCATAAGCTTTAATGATCGGTATTTTTTTTAACTCAGAAAGGACTGCCTCATTTTTCTCCTTTCTCTTTTATGGTTAACAGACTGGTACCATTGTTAAGATTCAACATTCATTGTTTTGGTTAATTTTGAGGTGGAAATGTCACGAGAAAATGTTTTTATAAAGCTGTAACTTTTAAATGCATGCATGTTGACATATAACTGATTAACATCCTTACTGATTCTGTATCTGCCAGCAGGCTAAAAGTTAAACTTATGTATGAAATCTCAACTATTTGTATGACATGTTTTTGCTATTGTTATTCTATTTATTTCAGTCAATGTATGCATTGATGGCAAAGTGCGAGGAGTTGTCTATGTCAATGGAACCTGTATATAAACTTGCCGACCAAATGTATCCTTTCTTTATATCACATGATAGCACTTGTTTTCAGTTTTTGTCTGTTTGGTTTTTGTCTTGTTTGTTTTTTAAGCCAATTTTCACACAATCTGTTTTGGTCATATCTCAATTGTCTAATTTGCTTTCCTGGATAACTAACCAAAAATATCCAGTTTCTCTGCATGTTATTTTAAATGTTACATAAACAAGTATTTCTTTTATAAGTCATGTTTAAAAGCCCATTATGTCTAAGAAATGCTTTTATATTTATTTCACAAAATAATATATACAATTTTGTAGTTTCAAAAAAGTTACTCATTGGCCAATTATATGTTGGCAATAAGTACAGTTATAATGAAGTACTTGGTTTACATTTTACTTCTTTTATGACAAATTATTTCACCTTTATAGCTTTTTTCTAAGAAATCGGGAAACAAGTATCTAACATTCTCTAAAACCATTATAAAATTCATGTTTGACCAATGTAAAGAAGTAAAAATCTATTTGTTTCTGAGGCATAATGTGCCTTTAATACGTTTGTAAATCTAAATTTCTATGACAGAATTCATTGATTATTATCAAGTATTACAAACAAGTATAAGAATTTCGAATATCACCCTTAACTATTGTTTCAGTAAAGAAATCAAGCGTTTGCTGGATAGGTTTGAGAGTCAGGTAGGAGATAAGCCATGATGTACAGTATATCACACTTGGTTATTAGTAACGCTCGTTAATATATGTATACCTGCAGCATTCCATTGGGTCCTGAATATGTATCATATCTTATTATAAAATCATCAATTTTGTGCAGTAATTGGTTAACTAAATTTAATAGGTGTTAGTCTATAACTGCACTAAGGTAATGAAATGGAAGTCTTAGTTGTAAATCTTACAATGTTCCCAAGGGAACTCCCAGTTTCCAGAATTTTTGCAGAAAGTCTTGTAAAAAAAATGCAAGAAGAGTAACTTTGTACTGAGTTTAGATATATAAGCTATTTCATGTATGAAATATTGTGCAGTATAACATAAAATTTGCATATTTCGGAATCTGAAATATCAAATATAGCTGAGTATCCCATACAATGAACAAAGATGGACACTCTGTACATTTTGTATAGTAGAAGATTGATACATATGTATGGAATGAGGCTTCTTTTATGTATGATATTCTATGGAATTATTTAAAATGGTAAGATTGAGAACATTGATATATGTGGTGACAACGTGTTAATGTGGACCAACTGAATCACTGTACATGCCAGACATCTTAAACGAGTATCTTGTACCATGCATGAAGTGAGACCCTATGTACTATGTTATCTACATCAAGCTTTTTGGATTATCTTCTAAAATATGTGAAGTAAGACACTGTGTACATGAAGCATCATGAAGTAACTTCTACTGTGTATGAAGTAAGACACTGTGTACATGAAGCATCATGAAGTAACTTCTACTGTGTATGAAGTAAGACATTGTGTACATCAAGCATTGTTGAGTAATGTATGAAGTATGACCATTTGTGCAATAATTTCTACAATGTGTGAGTACATGTAAGGCTAGCATGTACATATGTACATCAAGCATCGTAGAGTAACTTAAACAATCAATGAAGTAAGCCACCTGTGTACATCAAACATTGTTGTGCAATTTTAATTCATAAAGTAAGATATTATGTACAGTAAGCATTGTTAAGTAACTTTTACAGTGTGTGAAGTAGACACTATGTGCATTAAGCATTGTAGAATAGCTTTACAATGTACAAAGTAAGACACTGTACATCAAGCATTGAACAGCAACTTTTGCAATGTATTAACACTATAGACAAGTTAAACATTGACATTACCACCTTGTGTATAATTGGTACAGTCATATGAGCCGCGTCACGACAAAACTAATATAATGGGTTTGCGACCAGTATAGATGGGATCGCACTGTCTGATCAGGATCCATGCTGTTCGCTTACCAACCCTATAACAAGGAGAGAATCTGACAGCGAACAGCATGGATCCTGATTAGACTGCGCGGATGCGCAGGCTGGTCTGGATCCATGCTGGTCGCAAACTCATTATGTTGGTTTTGTGGTGACGCGGCTCATATATAACAGATACATTTGAGCCATATATTTTTGTTTAGAATAGTTATTTATTCTATCTCTTTTGTGTGATTGAAGGTTTCATGAAAAAACAGAGATTACATGTATATTGTTTTAGTCAAGATCTTACATTGTTAAAGTGCCATACCACCAATTTAATATACGTATTTAGTCAACAATCAAAATAGATATGATCATATTTGTTCATTAATGATAAAAAGCTACATTCACACATAGTGAACATAGAGTTGTTTTATGATACTGTTTTTATAATAGATAAAAATTATTGAAAAGTTAGCGTCACAAGTTCCGTAAAGTGTTTAATTTATTTGTTAATAATGCTGTAGATAAAATGTAGAGTTTTTTAAAAAAATAATGTCAATGTTTAAATTGTAAAAAAAAATATTATGACATAGAAAATTAAAAGGTAGATCAAATTTGAATTTGATGTTCATTTTAAGTGTGGGCTCCCATTCTCAAAGGAACCCTTAGCTATTCATTCTAGGTTAAACACTGTTATGTCATTTTTATAACAGGTGTTTTGTATTTTTTTATGAAAAACAAATTTTACGAGTTTAATATTTGTATATTTTGGTTAAAGATGTTAAAAGTATATCTGTATATGAAAAGTGCAAAATAATATGTTGATATGTAAGTTAAAATACAATTTATGTCTTTCAGTAACGCTTCAATGATGATCAAGTTTTAATGTACCTATGTTTGCATAAACAAGCATGCCTCCAGATTCATGCAGTTTTAATAGAATTTTGAAAATGTATTGAAAAGTAAAATATTGTGAAGTGAACCAAGATATGAATTAAGGCATTGCAAACTGTGCTTACAATCCACATAAATTACCAAAAAGAGGGCGAAATATGCAAAAATAGCCCATACTGTGTTTAAGTCACACAGTAGAAATAGAAAATGAAAAGCAGTCGTTCATTGAAAATAATATGTAGATTATTACTTGAATTATGAAAATTTTACTCTTCTTTAAATCTTAGAACATTTTTCTTAAGTTTGATTTTCTTGCAATATTTTGGCTTATCTGGTGGCATGCAGCTTTAAAAGTGATGGTTTTAAATATTTCTACCGTCTTTAATTTATATATGTATTATTTAATCATGACAATGTTGTATTTATTTTCATATTATACAGCCAAGACTTGTTTGTCAAATTGTAAAGAGATTTTGTGTATAGTTTTAAGCAGTTATGTTTTTCTGTCTCATTTTTTTTTCCAGTAACATCAATATTTGACCCCTTTGGTATTTCAGGAAACAGAATATTTTTAAGGTTAAATTAGTTAAGATTGTTAAATTAATCTTGAAGTAATGTTGTAACTTTAAAGTGATGACTTTTCAGAGCTTATTTTTATCACTATGAAATAATCGTCTCCTGGAACAGTCAGTTTCAGATTGTTACCACCCCTCCCCCCCCCCCCCCCCGTTACCCTCCTAGATGACCTTCAGCCAAACATCTGTAAGTTTAGAGGATCAGACATCTTGACCACATTTCCTTCTCTTCCCATCTTTGAATTATATATATGAGCTGCGCCATGACAAAATCATCATAATCAGCGCAGTCTGATCAGGATCCATGCTGTTTGCTTACAAACCCTGTTACAAGTAGAGAAACTGATAGCGAACAGCATGGATCCTGATCAGACTGCGCGGAAGCGCAGGCTGGTCTGGATCTATGCTGGTGGCAAATGCATTATGTTGGTTTTGTCATGACGTGGCTCATATATAAGTTAATCCCTAACATGCAAAATGTCTTAAATTGACTAGTCCATATTTTAATTTGGACAAAACCTTTTATAATTTTTAGGAAAATTCTTTTTCAAAATAAGTACTGACTTGAAAAGCAAACATTATAAACCATGATTGGACGGCACAGGTTGCATGGTTAATTTAAGTCACATCCAGCATGTTAAGGGTTAATACTTAAAGCCAACTGTTTAAATCCTGAATACTCTTTTCAGTTTTCTTTCTTTATCTTGAAAGCTTGATAATTAGCTTCTCTTTTTTGGCACAGACTAATATAAAATCTTACCATTGTTTTCCAATCTAATAAACCAAACCTGGCCATGATGTTGATCGTTGAAAATATAATCTAAATTTTAAGATGTCCTAAGGAGATAGGTGGCCATGCGGATAAAACAGTGCCTGCATTCAAATCAACAGTTGTAGGTTCAAATCTTCTTGGCTCAAAACCATAATTCCTTATATAACCAAGTGCAAATTAGTCCATGAAGTTGACTAGAAAAAGAGAATTTAGATATTCAGTATTTTCTTTTTTTCTTAGGAAAACTATAGAAGATATGGTAGATTTAGAATTTTTAGGATTTTTTATATTATCTACCTCCTTTCAATAAATTTAAATGATTTATTTAACTTAAATCAGTTTGTGGTAATCACATGGGAATTACCTCCCTTGAGATGTTTATCTTTTAAGCTATGTAAATCTATTTTTCCTTAAGTTATAAAACATAATTGTTAGTGTAACATTGAAAATATTTTGCTAACCATAGTGTTAAAGTACAATAATATGACTGAGATGAATTTTGCATCAGTTTACCACCCATGTATGCCCACAGATAACAGATGATTGATGTATGAATGAAACAACATATACTTGATGAATATTCAAAATATGTTTGTATACATAGTGCTAATTATATACAGCTAGATTTATTTTTCTTCCTGGATTACTTGATTATATGTACCAACCTAGAGATATGTCTATTTTGAGGGTGTAAAGTTTCCCTTTTTGTATTTTTTTTATTAATTAAATAAGGAAGCTAGAAGGGTGTGATGGAGTATTTAAGCAGTACAGACATATTAGACATTTTTAGCTCGCCTTTTATAAAAAAATAGAGAGGCATTGTTACAGTTATGTTGGCATTGCTGTACCCAAACTTTAACCTTGATCATAAATTTTTAAGTTCTTAGTGTATTGTCTTCATACTTGGCCACAACAACCCTTGGAACAAGACCTTTAAAGCTGCATGCCTCCAGATGACCCAAAATATTTCAAGAAAATTAAACTAAAACTTTGAGAGAAGTAAACAAATTTAAAATTCATATTTAAATCTTATGTGCAATTAATGACTGTATTTTGTAGTATTTATCACTATATTTCTACTGCGTTACTAACACAGTAGGGGCTATTTATGCATATTTTGACCTCTTTGGTAATTTACGTGGATTTTAAGTGCTTATTGTAATGTGTCAAGTACTTTCTTTACTCATTTTACAATATTTTACCTTTAAATGCATTTTCAAAACTTTCATGAAAATTAGGATGAATCTGAAGGCGTGCTGCTTTAAGTACACCAGATTTAACTTGACCCTCATTCATAAATGACCTTGACCTTCAACTTCAAGGTTAAATGTCTAAAATTTGCTTGATTTTTGCTATTAGTGGCTATAACTTTGTCATTTTTTGATGGATTGTTTTCAAACTTTCACATTATTTTTGATGGATTGTCTTCAAACTTGAACACAATAATCTGTTAGGATAGACCTTCAAGTAGACCTTCAAGTTAGCAAGATAGACCTGGACCTTCACTCATAATGACCTTGACCTTGTTTACCCTTAAACCTGCTGACTTTGAATAATAAATTTGCCCTGCTATGAGTATGGAACAATCCATTTAAAGTTTAGGGTATCCCAAGATCAAAGTACAAAGTACAATAAGAATGAGCTATGGAGCCTGGTTAGACTGATTGGTAGCAGTGTTTATGAGTTGTGTATTCCAGCAGGACCATGTTTTACCAGCCTGTCCATATTTTAAACTCAGTCTGTTTAGACTAAATGCAATGGCTTATAAATTTGTTTCAAGTTTTGATCAAATATTTTTTCCTTATCTTACATTAAAGGCCCATGAGGCCTAAAATGCTATCATTTAAATTTTTCAAAATCTTTTTATTTTTGGCATCCTATTACTTTTTCTAAAATAATGTTACTCATTAGCCATATTCCTGATCCATATTTTGCTTCTTTTGCATTAAGGAAATTAGGACAATGTACCAATGTACTCTCATTATGATTTAGTATTTTGTATGGACGTCAAATAAACTTTGTTTACATTTTGCTACCTTTATCACAAATTATTTAATCAACATTATTTTCTTCTGGTGATTAGCATCTTACATTTTCCAAATCCATAATTACCACATTATTAAACACATGTATGCCCTTTTGTACATTAAAGGAAAAATTTATTTGTTTCAAAGCTTAATATGCCTTTAACTAGTGAGTCCCCAAAACATTTGTAGCTGTGGATTAAAGGCAGATTATGCCTCAGAAATGCTATTGTTTCTATTTTTAGCTCACCTGTCACAAAGTGACAGGGTGAGCTTTTGTGATCGCTTTTCGTCCGGGGTCCGTCCGTTGTCCGTCCGTCCGTAAACTTTTACTTTAAATGACATCTCCTCATAAACCACTTTGCCAATTTCATCCAAACTTCACAGGAATGTTCCTTTGGTGGTCACCTTTAAAAATTGTTCAAAGAATTTAATTCCATGCAGAACTCTGGTTGCCATGGCAACCAAAAGAAAAAACTTTAAATATCTTCTTTTAAAAAATCCTAAGAGCTAGAGCTTAGATATTTGGCATGAAACATCTTCTAGTGAGTGTCTACCAAGTTTGTTCAAATTAAATCCCTGGGGTCAAAATTGGCCCCGCCCCAGGGGGGTCATTGTTTTTCCCTATATGTATATAGTAAAAACTGAAAAAATCTTCTTTGAAAAAACCCAAAGAGCTAGAGCTAAGATATTTAGCATGAAACATTTTCTAATGGGTGTCTACCAAGTTTGTTCAAATAAAAGCCCTAGGGTCAAAATTGGCCCCGCCCCGGGGGGGTCATTGATTTTCCCTATATGCATATAGTAAAAACTTAAAAAATCTTCTTTTAAAGAACCCAAAGAGCTAGAGCTAAGATATTCAGCATGAAACATGTTCTAATGAGTGTCTACCAAGTTTGTTCAAATAAAAGCCCTGTGGTCAAAATTGGCCCCGCCCCAGGGGGTCATTGATTTTCCATATACATGTATGCATATAGTAAAAACTTGAAAAATCTTCTTGTAAAGAACTCAAAGAGCCAGAGCTAAGATATTTAGCATGAAACATGTTCCAATGGGTGTCTACCAAGTTTGTTCAAATAAAAGCCCTGGGGTCAAAATTAGCCCCGCCCCGGGGGTCATTGATTTTCCTTATATGTGTATAGCAAAACTTAAAAAAGCTTCTTTGAAATAACCCAAATAGCTAGAGTTTAGATATGAGGCAAGAAACATCTTCTAGTGAGTGTCTACAAAGTTTGTTCAAATAAAAGCCTTTGGGTCAAATTGGCCCCGCCCTAGGGGGGGGGGGGGTCATTGATTTTCCCTGTTTGCATATAGTAAAAATTTAAAAAATCTTCTTTGAAAAAACCCAAATAGCTAGAGTTTAGATATTAAGCATGAAACATCTTCTAGTAAGTGTCTACAAAGTTTTTTCGAATAAAAGCCCTGGGGTCAAAACTGGCCCCGCCCCAGGGGTGTCATTGTTTTTAACTATATGTGTATAGTAAAAACTTAAAAATCTTCTTTTAAAAAACCCAATGAGCTAGAGCTTAGATGATAAGCATGAAATATCTTCTTATGGATGTGTTATAAAAGCCCTCAGGTGAAAATTGGCCCTGCCAGGGGAGGGGGGGGGGAGGATAGATCATTGTTTTTCATTACATGTGTGTATTAAAAACTTAACATGGTGAAATAAAAACTTAACATTTTGAAACATCTTCTAATGAGTGTCTTCCAAGTTTGTTCAAATAAAAGCCCTGGGGTTTAAACTGGCCCCGCTCCGGGGCCCTATATACAGGTGAGCGACCTCAGGGCCATCATGGCCCTCTTGTTTTATTTTTCATTTAAATTGTGCTGTAACAGTTTAAAAAAATACTCATTTGCTATATACGTAAACTATCTTTTTATGACTTTGTTCTTTTGGCAATTGGTATAATTATAGTGAATTAGCATGCTGCATCTTGTATGGAAGTCAAAATACTACTTTGTTTACATTTTGTTTAGGGGTGTGGATCGTCGGATAAGTGACGATCCAATCCGATCCACGATTCAGCACTTACGATTCACAAATCAAACCACATATCTTTTGTTATCAAGACACCCATAAAAACATGTACATTAGTTCTAAAAACATGTTTATTTAAAAAAAAAATACTAAACATTAAACATATATGCAACCAGGTTTATGTTTTTATTCTTTGGATGAGTATTTTTGTTTTGTTTTTTGAAACCAATTACTTCCTAGCTCGTCATCATGGTACATGGTCTTTAACCGGCTAATTGTATTTATAGGTTAACTTCCCATAATTTATACTCAAATCGTATTTTTCTCGACTTTTAGTGTGTGAGAAACCGTAAATGTATATAAACAAATAAGATCGCGATCCACGATCTCTGGGCTTACGAATATTCAAACTCGATTTTTCACTTTGATTCGTGATTATCCGAGTACTCGGATACTCGCCCCAGCCCTAATTTTGTTATTCTTTTCAACACAAAGCTGCATGTTCAGTGCTATCTTTTCACTTGTTAAACATCTTACATGCTCTAAATCCATTATGAAAACATTTTTAAATACATGCTTGACATTTCTAAAAACGTATAAAAAATATAAAGAAAATATGGATTTCTAAGGCATAATATGCCTTTGCATAACTATATGTGATACTTATATGTCTTCTCTCAAAAAAATGTGGCAACATTGCTTTGTAAAGATACCACACCTTACATGCTTGCTATTTACTGCAATGGGGCAGGTGTGGACATATGTGTTCTGTTTTCCAGGGTAGTTAATTTTCTTCAAATAAATTATTAAAGCATAATAATACATAGAGTCTTAAATTATCTATATAAAGAATTTGGGGGATGTAGATAAGTTTTATCTCTCCCCCCCCCCCCACCCCACAGATAAAGCATTGCCATATTGTGCTTTAAAAAAGCATGCCTCCAGATTCATGCTAATTTCATGAAAATTTAAAAAATGCATTTAAAAGTAAAACATTGTGAAGTTAAAAAAAAGAAAATAATTAACGCATTGCAAACAACACTTGCAGTCCACATAAATTACCAAAAAGAGGTCAAAATAAGTAAAAATTGCCCTTACTGCTTTAGTAATGCAGTAGAAATATGGTTATAAATGGTACAAATCGGTCCTTAATCGTATTTGTGCATTTTTTTACTTGAATCTTGAATCTTTTATTTTTTCTTGAAAATCTTAGTACACTTTTCTCTTTAATTTTCTTGGAAAAATATTTTAGCTCATCTGGAGGCATGCTGCTTTAAAAATTAATTGCCTGAAAACATTACTGTTGTTCATATTTTACTTAAGTACATGGCATATTGCCAATATTATGTTTTGAATTATTATTTGTCCATGGATTATCACGTTATATTATAATTATATGCTTCATGTTTAGTGCAATATATATGTATAATTATTTCCTGTAATTGGAAGATGAATTATTCCCACCGTTTTGTTTAACATTTCTTGTTGTTGTTGATTATGATGATAGACTTTATGAAATTTATATTCAAATTGTTCAAATAAAGAAAAAACTCAAGAAACCTGTTTTATTTTGTATTCATTTAAGTTATATTTTCGACAAGTAGAGAAGATTGGTATAGGGGTAAAGCATCTAATCCGGAAAGTCGTTTGTTCAAATTTCCCACGGGCCCAAAAATTTTGTTAGGGAAACCAGACCCAAAAAGCAGTAAACAGCATGAAAAAAAGGGCGTTCTAGCCCCCAAAAAGGGGGCTACAAACTCGGGAACAAAATTTTTTAGTCTGATCACCAAGCGGGTAGGTTGGTCGTTTTCCACATTTTTTTAAAGGATTTGTTGGAAATTTTTTACTTTAGCAAAAAATAGGCAATGAAAAACACGTTTTTAAAGTCAAACAAAAGTTTAAACCCAATTTGTTTGATTCAGAGTGAGTTTTGGGGACTTTACTCTTAGACGAATTGAGTGAACCCGAACATTTTGCTTTAAAAATTTACGCCCATATGATGACATTTTGGCAAAAAATTTCTAAGTGCACCCTAGCAAGTGTATGAGGGGTAGGAAATTTGGGGTTTAAATTTAGTCTTACCATTACAGCAACAAGTTTTGTTCTATTTTATATGACTGGATTCAAAATAGCTACCACGTAGACTGGCAGAAGAGTGAAAAATACTCGTACATTTTGGGGCCTATAAGGGGACGCAACTCGGTCGTGCATTGTGATGTCCCTCTACTTTTAGAAACCGTAATCTTCTTGTATACAACGACGGACTGGTGTACGACAGACAGCCATCGACCTTTAAATGTCATATATGCACGCAGCCATGTCACCTGTACTCGCATAATGAGTAATTGACATTAGATATGTGGTATTTTGCATCTTATAGTGGACTTCTATCAAGCTTGTTCAAATCACGGCTTTGATAAAACTCGGAACTTGTTCTGGAAATAAATATTAAATTAATTAATTTATTATTAATTTTTAATAAATAAATAAATATCGAAATAAATAGATATTAATTAAAGAAATCTTAATTTCTTGTTTTTGGCATTTAATCACGGGCTTAATAATGTTACTCGTTTTACATGCACTTTGCATTGAACTTCCACATTGAAAAAGGTCATGTTCACCATAACCATTGACGTATTTTTTAAGAAAAAATCTTCTAAGAGAATCCATTTGTAAATCAATATTTATGAACCTTGCGCAGAGGTACAAGTTTTGGAAACAAAATGGTCATTGTAAAGGTAAAAGTCACCAAGACTAAAGAAATACGTATATCCCGCAATACGTATTTCTGCAATATGTATATTACACAGAACGTATATTACGATACTTTTCTACAGTAGTAGCTTCTTAATTTCATCGAGGTGAGCGATATGTGGTCTTTTTTTTCTGCCCTCTTATTTAACAATTTCTTGGAAACTTAGTGGGACTTTTTCCTTATCTGGCGACGGTTATATTATATGGTGAATGCGTTTAATCGTTTTAGCAATCTATACTTTATTTTTCCCCCTTCTTTACAAATGCAAACATCACTTATCTGCTCTCTCCTTTTGTATTAACACATTTATACCTGTTTCCATGCATTTTACAGATTTTTTTTATTTTTGCTTTTTTACGAGATTGTTTATTTTTGCTTTTTAACTGTTAAAAGAATTGTATGTCAAATTTAAACGGAAATTTTTAATGTTAAGAGGTCGTTCTTAATCCTTCAATTACTTTTAAATTAAACTACGATTCATTGTTAGAATGTAAAATTGTCTCTTTTATTAAAAGGCGCCCTGACCTTAAGATTGAACCTGATTTAGATATTACGATAAGAAAACTTGTCGTTTCATGAAAACATATTTTGCAGACGACACAAACTAATAATATTGGGTGACTTTTCTTTTATGAGTCAAGGTTCTTTTATATCATGTAATTATCTCTTACTTATAGGTCATTAAAGCTACATATTGTGGATGATCATATCGGTGAAATGTTTTTGCACACACGAAATATTACCGAATTATCAATTTTCAAAAAATAGGTAACTTTTTTTCATGACTAAATCTTTATCCTATTACTGAAGGAGTATTTGATGTTATTTCATATCCCAGGAGTCTGTTCAATTAAGTTATCTTAACACTGAAATGCTTAAAATTCTTTATTTATTCCCCTTGAAGCACGTGTTTCGGCGGCCGCTGTTCAATGGTGGGGTGGGGGTAATTAGGTTTGTAGGTCATGACCACGGCATGTAACAGGCCTTTTTTGCCATGCATGTGGAACTACTGTGAGATTTGGATATGAACTTCAAATCAGCAAAATTTTTACTCGTGACCCTTCTGGACTAGTAAAGTGTTACCCCCCGGCCGCCTATTTGGAAATTTTATTAGCCTTTGTCGATAATCGACCCCTCTTTTAAAGATCATAGATGCGGCTCTGATTTTACTTTTTGATATACTAACTTTTACTTCATTTCCATAAAAATCGGACCGCATTTTAGGGACATGCTGCTTTAAAGCGACTCCACCGAGGTTTTTGACAAGATGGGACTAGAATTTTTTTTCCGAGATTTTATACCATTTGACAAAGCTCAGAACCAATAATATGTGTTGCAAAATTTCAGATCATTTCCCCAATCCGTTTGTCCAGAATTATCATTTTTTATTGTGCAAATGACCCATGAAATTTATCAGCGTTGCAACAATTGTGTGCTAAGATTCGTATTTTCTTAGATTCCTATTTTTCAATTTAATTTTAATATTATCCTTTGCAGATTTTTCAAGTTCAAGAGTTTCAATTGCTCAATGTTAGAATTTTAAAATTATCATTAGTTGAGTCTCCTTTAAAAAGGATCTTATGTTATTTATCCATGGCCTTCATTGATCGGCGACAATTTTCAAATAATTTTTTTAATCTCCAATACTCTATGTAAACATTTATAGATATAAAACCCTCACGTATTGTCGGTTAACTTTCATAACCCACGTGAAATTGTACATAGTAAGTATGCATAGAACTTGAAGTTAAAATGACTGAAAATTCGAAATTGGAAATATGGACTGTACAGGTACTGTATGTGGAATTTTAGATGTGTTAATTCGATTTATTTAGATTGAGTGAAGTTTAAACATTTTCTCTGATCAAAATATAACCATTCATAATTAAATGAATCATGAATCTCTATAAATTTATTTAATATCAATATGTAAATACAACGTGTTTAAATGGCTGAAAGTCGTGGTTATTACTATACATAATCATAAATAGTCCAAAATAAATATTTTTGTTGATTACTTAAAAACGAAAACTATGCAGTGTTAACGAAATGTTAGGCGGGATGGGCACATGTTTATGCACGACTTAGACAGATAACAAACAGGTTTTGCCAATGTTAAAAAGTAAAATGGGACATATAAATGGATGTGTTTAAAGATCCTGTAACACAATTTTTTATGGTTTAATTTCATAAATATGATGCTCAAATCAAGATTTCATGTAAATAAAGGGAGGTAATAATTTTTTTTATTTTTCTATAAAGTCAAATTTTTCAATAAGAAAAAGTACAAATTTTGCAGTACATATTTAACATGTTCTTTGATGTTTTAAAATTGTTTGATCTTTAAATAGCAAAAATGCTTTGAAGTATTTTGGCCTGTTTTCATCCATGCATTTTATAAATTAAGATCAAATCCCTAGCCATTGCTTTTTTATTATTTCGGAATACGTTATGTTATTATACATGTAATTGTTATTTGTATTCCATCTAATGTATGTTTGTATTTGATCCTAGGCGAATTCTATCCTTGCTAATTATGAATGAAATTTTACTTACTTTAAATTCCAAATTCAATTAAATATTCAGAACTTGGTTTCAATTTCATGTTCATTATGAATTTCTCAAAATAGAAAGTGAACCTACAATAAATTGCCTCACATTTAAACTGAATAGGGATACAATGGGCACTTTTCCCATTAGTCTTTCAAATATTGATAAAAATAATAAAAAAAATACAATTTGGATTTTCTTATAAAATGTTGTTTTGATAAATAATATTGATGAAGTTCTACGTGATATAGAATGAAATGTTATTTAATTATCTGCCATAAAAATATATGTAATGTGGGATCATGTAGCTCAAACCAATCTTGCCATCAACTGCATATCTTCCATGTATAATTCTTTCGTGATTTGTTGTTACGGTCTAAAACCAAATACTATCAACATGCGTTATTTTTTATAATTATTCATTGTATTACAGACATTCATTCACTTTATCTTTCAATTAATGCTCATTTGAATAGTCGATAAACATCGTCTCTGTCAATATTATGAGTGCTTTTTGGAATATGCTTTTTCTCAATAATATTTCTATCTGTACGTATATGGCGTTGTTTTCAGAGGTCGCAGAGTCGGGCTGTCGATAGATATTTTCTTTGGGTTTTTTTTCTTCTTGTAATGTATGTATTTTTAAAGGAACAAAATGGCAGACTGAAATTCACGGGATTCAAAATATGTTTGTGTGTAGTTTTATTTTAATTACTGAAACGCCAACCATCACTTTTGTCAATTCTAAGTTTGTATATGTTTTCAAAAAGGGAGACACTAATGGTCAATGCTCCTTTTGTAAAGCTGCTTGGATTTTGTTATGCTTATTCGACATGTTTGTTGTAAGTACTAAATACCTTTTAGTAAGTATTCGTTGTTACATATTCTGCATCTAATGACTTAAAACTTAATATACATTTATGATTATGTGCACTAATTAATGATTGGGTGCCATTGGGTTGATTTAAACTAACAACCATTCGCGTCGGAAATGAAAGATGCATTTTAATGAAAGTTCTTCATGGCCAAATGGGCCTCCATGGTCAAGAGAGAGTCGCTGACATCTAATTACTTTCCAATCATAAACTTCAGGGTCACTAAGTTTACTACAAATAGATTAATCAATTTTTTTTGTCACAGAACCTAGGTATATTGCGTGCTTGTCACGTGCACGTGCGCGGATATTCATTTTTCGCTTGAGACAAAGTCATCTTGGTTATTTCGAAGCGCCTGAATTTAAAGCAGATCATGATATAAAATAAACGTGTGATGATCTAAGAAAGAAAGAAAGAGATTATAATGCATTTCCGGCCGTTTTCAAGTTTGTTATATCCTCCATTTTCTTTAGGCTCATAGAATGCCAACTTGAGGCTGCTAGGCTGCCAATTTTAGGTTGTTACGCTTTCAACTTTAGACTGCCAACTTTAGGCTGCCAGACTGCCAATTGCTGGTTGCCAAGCTGCCAATTTCAGGCTGTTAGGCTACCAACTTCAGGCTGCCCCGCCTGGCAACTACTTCAGGCTGCTAGGCTGCCAACTTTAGGCTACTAAGCTACCAACTTCAGGCTGTTAGACTGCCAACTTCACGAACATCTTAGTTAAGACTTTTCTGATTAGGCAATTTTTTATTTTGACCAGATATCTTACATATTTCCGATGTGTAGATTTATACCCATTTATAAAGTATTCTTTCACAATTGATTGAACTTAGATAAAATACTTTTAATTGGACATTTTAGTGGTATTGTGCAAAGGGGGAGGGAAAGCTTGTGCAGAAAATGTTCTTAAACTTTGCATAATTAAAGAGAATCATGATTGAAACAAATCGATGACAAAATGGAGGTCGCCAACCTACTGTTTCCGTTAGCTGGTCAAGAGGGAGAGTCTTTTTTTCTTTTCTTTGCACTTAAATTATGTCACTCTCGGGAGCAGATAGGCCTTGTTCAAAATCAAGCATACATGTACCGATATTCTAATTTTATTTCAAACTATTTTTTATACTTTACTTTAAGCCGTTATGCAAAGTTTAAAATCATAGGAGGTGTTCTTTGGGAAAAAACACTAAAAGTTACATTTACTACAGTCTACTACCCTCTTACAATAAAGCATACTATAAAGAATACTAGAAAGAATAAATCAAGCATAAAATAGTTGTTTATTTGACTCAGCGCTTCATCACAACCATTTGGTTTAAGATAGATATACCGGGTATTATATCCATGTTTTAGTTAAGTTAAGATACTTTATCACTTGTATCTCATGAATATGCAAAGGGTCTTTCAAATCACCACGAAGCAAAACGATTAATTATTTTAAATTGTAGGAATACTGTTTTTAGCAAACCTAGTTTTTTTTATACATTTATTCATTCTAACGTTTGTAAACGATGAATCGTCAAGGAAGTTGTAGTTGTCCCAAAATTTTCATCATATCTCACGTTATCTCATATATTGCGACGTTTAAAAAGAATGTTTGTAAATTACGGAGAAAACAAATCAGCAGGGATTTTATCAGGTTTACTTAATATACGATACATGTATCACTAGAGATCAGCCAAAATTGTCGTTTTTTTATATAAATCAGTTTAGTTTTTGTGCGAATAATTCGGTTAACGCACTTGTGATTTTTGTGTTTGCATTTTGTTTTGCTTTTGCATATCCCCCCCCCCCAATTTTTGGTCATTTTTATCAAACATTTCAGTTCAATGATTTAACACATTCAAAAAGTAAATGGACACGTGCATAGAATTAGATTTTACCGTTTATAGAAGCTAGATGAAAATTTTCCTTAAAAAAATAAAAATAAATAAAATTTCACTTATTTTTTCATAAATTTTATTATAAAACAGGTTTAAAGGAGGTTTAAACTACATTTATGAAATTAGAAATCTTATCATTGTAAAAGTATATAAATAATAAAGTAATAATTACTATATATACTTTATTATTTTAACAGCTTAATATTAAGAGGTTAACTAGTTACGTATTAAGAGGTTAACTAGTTATGTAACTAGTTAACCTCTTAACTAACTTGTTAATTGAGAGGTTAACGAGTTACGTAACTAGTTAACCTCTTAATATTAAGCTGGTAAAAGAATACAAGGATGCCAGTTGTAGGCAATAGCATGCATTTATTTCCCGTTATGATCTTTTATTTATTGAAAAAATTAACTAGTTACGTAACTAGTTAACAACATAAATAACTAGTTAATTAAGTGGTTAACTTGTTACGTAACTAGTTAACCTCTTAATTAACTAGTTAGTTATATGGTTATCTGGTGGTAGAAATATGCCACCATATAAAAGCTCGCAAAATATGATTTTATTCAACAAAAATTAATAAGATACACTCATTCAATACCCTCTATGTATAGCATAACGAACTAGATTTATTATAGTATAAATAAAAAAGCACATGGCTAGGTTTATAAAGTAAATAAATGTATTTCAATCACGACAAATACTGGATAACAAGTAATGTTCATATGTTTTGCAACTGAAGAGTGCAAGTACGTTTAAAGCCACATCATGCCTCAGAAATTCATATTTTTCCCCATTCTTATGTGTGTAAAATGTGTGTGTTGAGTAAGGTAACAACTGAAGAAAGTATCGCTGAATATAATAATGAAGTCAAAAAGGCAGCAAAATGTAAACAAAATAGTATTTTGACTTCCATACAAAATAATATTTCACTTGATTATACAAATTGCTAATAAAGCAAAGGAAGCAAATGATATTTAATCTGTATGACAAATGAGGTATGTTTTGGAAAACTTAACAAGATACCAAAAAAAAAAATGGGCCTTTAAATACAAAGCTTTATTTCCAACTTAAAAAGTGTGTGTATACTATGGCAGGGTCGGTTCGTACGTCTGTTCATGGCCAGTAGATGGCCCCTTTTGATTTTGCGGTCAGTAGGTCAAAGGTCAAGAGAACTTCAAGTTTATCCGACCATAAACTAGGGAACGCTTTGCTAACTGATTTGGTTATGACTGGAAGTTAACCCCAATAGATTTTGAGGTCAGTGGGTCAAAGGTCAATGTCACCGTAGTCTTTACTGAAAGCTTGTCTGTCCAATTACTAGAAACGCTTTGACCTACAGACCTAAAACTTGACGCGGAGAAGGTCACCGTGGCATTGACCTCTCAACACTTGTCTGACTGATAACTCGAGAACGCTTTGGCCTACTTTTTTCATTTTCCCGCCTGCAGAGATAGGTGGGCGAAAGTTTAAGCCTTCCAGTCATAAGTAGGTGTTTAGATAAAAAACATTTAGAATTTGACAAGGGCTGTTGATAGGTATCTTATTTATTGCAGTTAAAGCAGTGTGTTTGCTGAATTTAAGGCGGAATGACTCATATATAGATATAAAAAAGTTTTATTAATGGCATGCGAAGTTTCCTATTGTAAACATTGTCATTATCGTTGCTAAAGGGAGACATGATATGTTATCATACTACAATAACGAACGAAAAGAAAAATTGAATTATACAAAACCGAAAAGAAAAACTTGCAACAAGTTATAACAGTTCAGAAATAATTGTATAAGTCTTTGACTGAAAGGTGGAACCGCAGCCAACTCTTAAGTATAAAACTTACATAAATGTGTTGGCATTATTGCCAATATTAATTTTGTAGCACCAAGTCGATGCAATAGATAAGACTTACCAAGCCAATGGAATGCATAAGACCTTCAAACCAAAGAAATGCACCAAAGATTTGCATATGACTTTTAAACCAAACCAAAGAAATGCATAAGATTTTCGAACCAAGCCAATGAAATGCAACAGACTTTGCTCAATTATATATGAGTAAGAATATATAAGTAAGATGTGGCCAAAAAATGAAATGGAATTATGAACACAGTCATTATAAATTTGACGCTCTAATCGATTTGACAAATGTGATTCTCTCATGAGACAAACATTTAGAATGTTTGTTACTATAAAATATTTCGATTCATATAACTGTCGATGTGGCTAAATGAGCTAATACGAAAAAGGATAAAACCAATCTTGATTAAAATCAGCTCCTTATCAACGTAACGCATTAGGATCTGATGGGCACCAATATGACCTTTCAAACAGCCAATTATCGTCGAGCTTTCCATGCAAGAAATAACTTAAGTAGATCTTGAGTCAAATCGGGATAAACCCAACTGGATCGGAAAATGAACTATGACATTCTCAAATTATGACGTCCATTATTATTATTACATGAGCATTTCGTGCGGAATAATTATATATTGACAAATTAAATCGTACAAACGGATATACTGTTTACGTTTAAGTAGTGCAAACTGAAGGATATTATAAACATTAAAGCATTTATAAAACTAAATATCAAAGAAAATTTCGCCCACATGCGTAATTCTTCTTTTTAGACTAGTAATTTCTTTAATATTGTACGCATAATTTGTTTAGGTTTCAAGATATTTACATTTACCTAGAGTCCCCTATCGTAATTGTGAAATTGTAAACTTAAGGGTATTCAGATAATTATTTAAAAAATAACTTTAAACTTACAGATATTTAATGCGAAAAAAGCAGACGTTTTACTTTAACGTTAACAATGATATCTCGGTCGATCAGGTGTCTCAATAACGTCACGTTCTTACAACTTGTCATTTTCAAGATGAAAAATTGAGATTTCGACTGTTGACAAAATTCAATGGACAAAAGAGCTGAATGAAAATAAATGATGTACCTATTTATCTACTTAACAACATCCATTTTCAAGGTTGTTTGTAGGGATAACATATTGCCTTCAATTTTTACAGTGATGGATCGTGTATTGCTTGCGTTTATTCTGTCACTGTGTACCACCTCATCTCTGACCATCAGCTTACCCGATGGAGCCGAGGTTAAATGTCCGTCCAGATATCGTGTCCAGGTATGCATTTTCTGCTATTAAATTACTCCACTGGTTTATATTGTGAACTGCAATTATCTGTGTGAATCAACCAAATACGAAAAATTAAAATTTTGACTCCGACTTCCACTACCTTTTCCCATTTTTTTGTAAGCATTGCAAGAGCAAAACATGCTTTTGATATTTTTTTCAAAAGCTTTTGTATTTCAATTCATTGCAAGCACCGGATGATATTAACCAGGCATGTTTACTTTAAACTTTTAAAAATAAGAAATTATTTAAATATCAATGTTTTGTACTTGATTTCAGCGTTTAGATATTGAAAGAAATATGCAAACGTAATATTTACATTGTATAATTTTATTACCAGGCTATGAGTGACAAATCTGTTGAGCTTCAAGTTGTTGATAACAAGACAGGTAGGTTATCTTTTTATCATAAATCGTTTTTTTTTCTTCAATGTTAAGAAAACAGTTTTTTACTTTAATTACAAGCACGATTTAAGAACATAAAGCGTTGATTTATGTCACTTGTATTGCGCATTTAGTATCGCACTACGCAATTACTGACAACGTATACCGGCAGTGGAGGTAAATCAAAATCAAATGTGTCGTCTGCAATAGAACTGTCGCGTGAAAAACATGCCACAAGCCCGGCACTTCCACTGAATGGCACAAAGTTTTTAAGGGCTTTTGTGGTCGAAAGGTAAAGGATCTTGACTTCAAACCACTTTCCCCAATCTTCGCGGGTTCGAATCCCGCTAAAGACTTTGGATTAGCTATCCAGCTAGCGTATGGAACGTATGTGGTTCTACTCGAGTGTCCTTTGGTGACTGAAATAATACATGGAGGTTCCCCTGTGGTCTTCCTCCACCAGTTAAGCTTGAAAGTCCTTATATTACCTCTACTGTGTTGGTGCGGCGTAAAAAGCACACAAGGTTTGTGATATTTGATTCCAATTTCCGGTATCAAGTTTAAATTGAATGTATTGTTACCCGCCATGTAAGTCGTTTAATTAATTAAAATTAATGGTCTATCAATATTTTTTTTATTTTTGCCTAGTTAGCAGTATCGCGATCTCAAATATTTGATCTTGTGGTATGTAATTTACTGTATTGCAGACGAGACATTTGATATCAATTTACTTCCATCGTCGGTATAGTATGTACTCTGGAAATGTCCTTTCGAAGTTGTACGAATTTCAAAAAAAAAAAAAAAAAAAAAATCAGCTACTTACAGTATAGAGCCTGGTCAGACTGTACTGATGTGCAAGCTTATCTGGCTTCATATTAGTGGCAAAGGCTAAACAGCTGGTTAAGTGTTAATATCAAAAAGTATCAGCTAATTGATGAAGAAGTCCAAGTATAACCGTTAAGTAGAAAAAAGTATTAAATATTACTATAACAGCTATAGCATGAAAAGCCAATCCAAGATAAACGTATGCTACATTTTTAAGTCACTTGTTCTTGTCTATATTCATATGACACATTAGCAATTATTTGTTTTACAATCTAGCATAGTTTCAATGCAATTTCTCGACCCTTTCCGTCAAATTTCGGAATAATAGCTGAGATGTTCGATAAGCATAATTCATAACCCAGCCAATCAAGCAAGCCACACTTCATATGAATCTGTAATTCGAACCTGAGACAAGAACTTGTGACTTTAATGCACATATTTTCTCATTTTCAGAATGTAAAAGATTATTGAGGGAGAAGTACACAAAAAGGACAAATAAGAAAGACGTCAGGCCGTTAGTGACCACAATATATAAAGACGGGAGCTACAAAGCGAACATAAGCTGGGAATTCATGCAGAGTATGACATTTAGCATCGTTTTCATTTTTTAAGAGATCAATCATCATAAAGGTTTTTGAAGGGATGTGTTGTGTATCAACTCTATAATTATCTTTAAATATACACGCACGCCCTGACGTACGCGTACACTTACAGAGACGTATGATTGATTGTATGAATGAATGAATGAATGAATAAATGAATGAATGAATGAATGAATGAATGAATGAATGAATTAATTAATGAATGAATGAATGACAATCTGTACAGTGAAAATCGTATACATCGACATTCTCATTTAAGAAAACTTTTTTCCATTTGTCTTTTGATATATAGAGGACGTTTAATTTAGTACTGAATTTATTGAACGAGCTGAATAGAATTATATTATGCGAGCCACTTTCATTGACGCACCTATACTGGCATGCGAGCAGTTCCCGTACAAAAATCATAGTTACTTAAACATTATTTTTTATTGCGCTCACTCACCAAAATTTAAATGTTACACATCAATATTCGGCTCGTCACACAAATCATGGAAATTCCATCATGTTCTAAACATAGAATAACCCTTACTTATGAGGCCTCATATGGGGTACCCAAATTATCAATTATTTTGTATGAAGAGAAGTAGTTCCCGTACATAAAATCTAACCCATTATAATTATACAATTTTATTATATCGGACCTATTTTTCATTTACAATTGTTGAACAGACCATTATCTAAGAGATAAATAGATGTAATTCAGGATATATAGAGCGTAGACTAAACGCGGGTATCTATTACCCGGTACCGTTACCCCAACGCATTCACATGCAATAGCATGCTTGTATGCATGATATTTTACGCATCAAAGGCTTAAAATTATTTTATATTGTAATATTGGTCAAAATTCTGATAATTAAACAAGTTTTCATCACATTGCCTACTTATTTGTAAACAGGTGGTATTAGTGGAAAACCCTTTAACAAGCCTCACGTGTAAGTATTTTTGCGCATGCGCGCAATGACGGAATCCCCCAGAGAAAACAAGGTCACGTTTTGACGACGCACAGGTGAAAGTTATTTAAAATGAGACTTTTTATACGTACTGCCAAACTGACACTTAGATTTTGTCTCGTTTATGTATCTGCTTGATTTGAAATGAATTTTTGAAGAATGAAGGTGAAAATCGAGCGTTTAAATGAAAAATACGGGTACTGCTTCTGTACGGGAACTGCTCGCATGCCAGTAGAATACGCCAACATTTATAGTGCGTCTGAACGCTTTGGTATATAACGCAAATGACGTCACGCCAAAATATATGCACGGCCGCCCAATACCATGTTTAAATAGTCGCAAAAGCGTCACTGGTGTGTTATAAATAGAGGATATTTCAGTTTTTTTCTATAAATACAGGATTTATTTTCATCGAGTGGTATGAAAATAAATATTTCATGAGTGGCGGTAGGTGAAATATGATGATTTGATTTTCATACCATTCGTTGAATTTATAGAAAAAAAAAACTTGAATTTTCTGTTTATTATATACATTTTTCTTTTTGATACATGTATTACAATTTGTAACATTTCCCCTTAAATTTTCTGTATTTGCTGAATTTATCTTGATTTTTTTTTCATCAATATTTCTCAATATTTCATTTATAAGTATATAATAAAAACATTAACGCAATGGTAAAGTCAGACATTTTTCAAGTGGCCCATAATTCAAGCATTATATTTTGAAAAATCGATCTCATTTTCAATTGCCTATAATTGGGTTTTATTGTATTTTATGACATCTGACAGATTAACGTTTTGAAATGTTAGCGAAATGATTAAACATAGATCAACTGGGCACTTTAAACAGAAAAAAAAATTGAAAAAATATATCGAAGAAACATACAGGCAATTAAATTGAAAAAATTGTATTTTTGTACGATTCTTTGACCGGTTTGAGTTATAAGCGTTTACACGCTTTTTATTGTAGGTCATTTTTCACAATTCTGAAATAACGGAGCGAGCTAAATTTCTGAAATTTTGTACACAACTTGATATATTGATATTTATCCAAACACACATCAAATGGTACATAAAATGATATTTCCAGTCTAGTCATGTCATAAAACCACAGTGGGGTCCATTTAATTAGATAATGAAATTGTCCTCTCTTTTTTGTTCGTTGAAAAATAATCCTCGTTTATTGGAGAAGCGTGCATATATTTCTGATAAGCGTTTATTATGGGAAGTATCTAATTCGAGCTATAGGTCGTGCGATATTAAAATGTTTGAAACTTACACCCACGATTAGCTTTAATGGACTCTAACATATTTTTTAAACCATCATATTCATAATGCTGATTTGTAGTCTGGAATGTACATATATCTAGATAATTAATAAGTCTGCGAATAAATATTTTTATATAAATATAGTAGAGCATTACAAATTGACACAAAGTTTGGTAATGAATAAAACTTGAAAGCAAGGATTACATAGGTAACAATTCGACATAGATCGATTTGTAAAGTCGCTTTTCATTGGTTTATCCAGACATTTATATAGCTTATAAACATGGCTGTGCTTATTTTTCAGGAAAAAAATTACCAAAACTGTTCCTCATAAATCTGACGTTCTACCACGAAGAAACAGACATGTACATATCTGACACGTGTGTTTTACTTCGAATTACTGGAAATAGAAAAATAAAATCCAAGGTAAGTTCATATGTTTATCTGCGACTCACTTGCAACAAATAAATATCAAGGTAAGTACATCTTTTTATCTGCGACTCATTTGTAACAAATAAATATCAAGGTAAGTACACGTGTTTATCTGCGACTCACTTTGCAACAAGTAAATATCACGGTAAGTACGTATGTTTATCTGCGACTTACATGCAACAAATAAATAAATATTAAGGCAAGTACATGCGTTTATCTGCGACTCAATTGCAACAAGTAAATATTAAGGTGAGTGTATGTGTTTATCTGCGTTTGACTAGCAAAAGAAAAAGTAAAAACCGAGGTAAGTACATGCGCTTCACCTGACAGACTGGCAACAGAAAAGTAAACCAAAGTTAGTGTATACTTTAATCGGACAGATTAGCAACATAAAAGTTCAGTGTATGCATATGTATTACACGTCTGAATGGCAACATTAAAGTAAAAACCAAGGTTAGTGCACGTGTGTTACTAGACTGATTGGCAATATAAAAGTAAAATCCAAGGTTATTACATGTGTTTTCTGGACAGAATGCAGTAAAACATGGTCCCAGGCTTTAAGTGCGTCTTCTAGAGCATTAACCTCTATTATAAGAACAAGACTTGATAGAAGTAAGATAAATTATCTAGAATCTCGGTTGATTTGCATTACAAAAAAATTAAAGGGACTCCACTGAGGTTTTTCGGCATGATGGGACTGGAAATAAATTTTCGAGAGTTATGTTCCATAAAATTTTGAGAATTATATTCCTTTTGATGTAGGTTTAGACCAATAGCTTTTGTGTCCAAAATGTCTGATCATTCGCTCACTCCTTTTTTAAGAGTTCAGCAGTTATTCTAACTGAGAAAACTAGGCTTAAAAAAGAATAAAAATACAATTTTCAATTTATTTCCAAGTATGGTATTTTTTGCGAATCTTTCGGTGCCCAGTTGATCTATGTACATAAATTTTATGATTGTACCTCAGTGGAGTTCCTTTAAACACTGAAACTCTGCCCCCCCCCCCCCCGGTAAGAAATATATTGAAATCGTTTTTTACAGTTAAATGTAGTTTCTTTGTGTATATTACATCAGGGTCTTTCAAGTAGAAAAACACTGTTAACACTTATTTCATTCACTAATATAAATGGTATAAAACCATATTCTGTGCCAAATATTTATTTTCTAACTTCCTTGCATTATATTATTATGCATCAACATGTAAATTACCTTTACTTGCGCCCATCATCACGCAGCGTGCTTAAAAAAGGAAAATCTATGCATTTATTTTATTTACTGCATATCTATTACAAACATAGGGGTTTTCATTCCAAAACATTGGAAAATTCAATCAATCTTTCACGGTTGTAGTTTAAACTATCATTTGCAGTTTAAAAGCTTAATATTTCAAAGCAGCAAAAGGAATAGCATTCGGGTGTATTGAAAATAAGATAATAATATTATTTTCATGGATAAAATGTACAAAGTACGAGTACATCACAAAATATAGTAGTATCAAGGTCAACGATGCCTAAATAAAATAAATTATACAAACTTTCCAATTTTATATATTCTAGGGACTTGTGAAGTTCTATTTCGACTGTCTACCGTTACTAGATACTCCAAAAATCGGTCTAGATGTTCAGTTATGGGGTTACTCTAGGACAGGGCGACCATGTAGGTCATTGCGCTCACTTCCACAGAATGGAGGCCCATGTGGCCCGGATGTACGGTGTTCCGGTGAAAGAAGGTTTTCTATCTCAAAAGGTAAGACAATGGATTTTATTCTCTTTAACAAAAACGAAAACAAAATACCTCTTAAAGATAAGAAAAGTTTCCCTTACTAAAAATAAAAAAAGAGATTTTGACAGGTTATATGGTCAAATATAACCAGTTTTACTGTGGAAAAGTTTATGTAATTCAGCTACTATAGAAAACAACTATTATAGCAGGCCATATGAACACTTTCCCAAATGTTCCACGCACTGGAGATCCTATGATAGTAATAAAATACACATGAAATTCAAAATTGAAAGGTCGGTTTTATTGAAACGATATATTTACTGCAACAATTTTTAAACACAACATTTATGTTACTGTCGCACAATGGATTAGATGCCATAAAATTTGTTAGGTATAATTGAAAATGAAATGGCTTATTCAGAAGAAAGAACTGATTGGCCAGAGAGACCATAGATGTTTATGCAAAAATACTAAATTGTTGTGATGTGTTAAATTACGGCAGGTTTTCTTTCTAAAACGAACGTGATAAGCTTTTATATGCCCCCGATGAATTCAACTTTGAATGACATATTTTTTGACATGATAAATTATATTACTTATGAATGTTATACTTTAAGTCAAAATGGTAGCTGAACAAAAAATAGAAAAACTCTTTCTTTACGTATGTTCATTACACAGTTTTTCCCAAATAAAAAATGTCATTTCAGAAAAGCAATGGTTGCATTAAGAATTATAGCCCTTGCTTTATAACTTTGATGTTACGTTGGACATATATTATTTTGGGAAAAGATAAAAAATAAATCTTAGACATGCAAAGCCGTGTTATTACTTACACTGCGTTCTGTGAAAATAACAATCCATTTTCTTTCTTTGTATAGGAATATCTAAACGGTGATACTTTTTGTTATTTCTTTTTGCAGATGCGCACCCCTATGAGCTCTGTGCGTGTTATATAAAGCATAGAGATATACCGAAGCTTAACTGGCAGTATGACTACAGTCAACAAAAATTTCACATCAATTTCACAAATGTTCCACCGTATTTACAAAGTGCTACAATTGAAATTGTGGAAAAACAATCTGACGATAGACTTGTGGAAGATATTGTAAGTTTAGTACTGAGTGTTTTTTTTCTATAAAATACTCGGCAATCTAATGTAAACCTGCTCGAGTAAAATACCGCAATGTTGGAACGGAATTAGTGCGTTAAAATTATGTTTTCTCCAAAACTTGACATACGGGGCTTGGGTAGGGGAGGGAATCAATTGATAATATCAAAATTAAGGAAAAGTTTGCTTTATTCTTTGATCATGAAGCTGAAGCTGATATAAATATGCACTATTGACAATGTGGTGAATGTTACATACACCAACACTGTTTTGAAGAAAAACAACAAAACAACAAGAACAAAAAAACAAGAATATCATCTGTATATTTTTGATATTACTCAAAATTCATTAAAAATGTTGTAATCTGACGAACACAAGTATAAGGTAACGATGGGTTTTTGAAAATAATAATAATAATGACAATAATAATTATAATAATGATAACAACAACATTATGACCAACAACAATAAGAATAATAGTAAATTCCTTTCTTTACATTACAGGAAGTCCGACAAGATAAAATCCATGATGGCGAGATACATGTAGATTCAAAACAATTTGATATTGGAAATTACACAGTATATGTATGTGCAAAACTAAAAGTATGTAGAATTAACTATACTAATATTTTAACAGATCTTCCAGTTTTTGTCATAGAATTATAGGAAATATACATCAATATTTTGATTAATAGGCTTAAATACATGAAATAGTTTCAAAATTTGAATTGCAGAATTTTACATATAAGTGTCTCATTTTAGAAAGTTCTCTTTTGCACGAATTTTCTTTGATTGACTGATCATTATTTTTCTATGAATACATCTACATGCATTTTCATATAAAAAGCTGTGTTTTTATTGCATTATTATGTTTCTATTTATCAGTTATGTTTCAATTTGTTAAGTAAAGGTATGTGTAAGAAAAAGAAAAAGGAATATAAATGTTAACTTTAATTTACAAATTCTAAGACTTTACCTGTAATAACAGATTAATTTTAATAAAATATTATAATAGTTCTGTGTCTTTTGATGGTACCCTCACAGAATCCTCTTGTCTTTCTCCTATGCACATATTAATTGCTAATGATCCCAACTATTGTCTTCTCTTCGTGTTGATACAAATAATCAATGTTGATTTGTTACATGTAAGGTGATGGTAAATGTAAAATTGTGTGTTACTTAAGTATATGGGACCCTACTGAGCATGTATTCGATACGACATATTGAAATCTCATTAAAAATGACGTCACAGGGAAAACACACTGTCACGTGACAAAAATATACTAAAAATAGGTGTACGAACGCGAGAGCGGCCTCACGATATTAACCGACATTAACCGATATAAAATTATTCATAAGGGTTCGTAATCTTTTCAACAAGGTAACTTGCAATACAAGGAAAACAAAACAACAACAATAGAAAAAAACAAGCAAAAACAACAAAAAACACAAAATACAACAAAAACAATACACGTGTACAGCTGCAATAAAAAGCTATTTTCTTGCTGTGATGAATAGCAATTGCCAAGGCTCTTTAGCACCGTCTTATAGAAAATTAAACATTACAAATGTAATGAAGTATACAGTTCAATTCAGAATTAACAAACACCCACACAATATATTACAGAAGATTCTACTGAGTGTTTTGTCTTTCTTTAACATTCTATTGTTTGCCCTACTTTTTTTAACGATTTTACTAATCAAATGCCAACTTAAATGGTCAAATACTTCTTATGAAAGTCTTTTCAGTGTGTTCATTCTTTAATATATTACGTCTGTCATTTTGATATATTTTTATTATTCAACGGTCATTTCGTCTTTCATATTTATGCAGATGATAGTAACTCGTTTAAATCGTTTAATTTAATGTTGCAAGCTACAAATTTGCATTTGTTTTGTTTTGATAGCCAATAACTTTAATTAGAATTAACCAATAGATGAGTTATAGACTGATCCCACTGGCAAAGCTATGTTTATATTTCTTAAACAACTTTGTTTTTTTTATGCATAAACACCGATACAAAATTAAATTATATCTAAATGAACATTATATATGTACTCACAGAATTGTGTGTTTAATTCTTTTTCCCCATTTGAGCCGACATATACATTATACATGTATATGAATGGATATGCGAAGAATTGATATGTGTTAGACACTTATTTATCGTGTAAAATTCGTCATTTCAAAAATTCTAAAGATTCATAACACTAAAATCACATTAAAATATGTCTTTAAAAATATGTATCTTGTTTTAAATTGGAAATTTATTTAATTGCCATGGCAATTTAGTAGTAATGAATGTAACTTTTTTTTAGAGAATTTTGATTATCACATAGCGCATAAAAAGAAGTTTGTATTGGCCGAATACATAGCTTAGCAAAAACTAGACTTGCTCCTATTTTATTCGCAAACATACATACTTTTGTCAATATAAGTCAGTTATGCTGTATAAAGGTCAGAGTAGGGATCTTTCAAAAGAATAAATCTTTGACATTTTTCTCTATTTTACTTGTAGCTTTTTCTGCAATGTGAAGAACCAGGATATTATGACAAGCAACGAATTAGCGACCATTGTGACGCCGATAACAATTATTTTGCTTATACATCGCAAACTTTAACTGGTAACTTTGCAGTCATAAAATTAACATTTTAAAACATTTATCTGCTTCCCAGACGTATATTATATTAATTGTTTGTCATGAAGTTATAAGATTTTATTTACTTAATTACTAATAGTCTACGAATTTTTAATATTGTCAACAGTTTTTTTTTCATGAAAATGTCTCAAATACTGGTTCAAACTGAAATTTAGTCATTCAAACACCAAATATTATATATTCATTAATGAAACACATGTTATCATGAAGACTTCGTCCAATATTTTATAATATTTTTTTAATTAGTTCCATAACAATATTTGTAAATTTTGTTTAAAGATCCTTTTACACTTTTTTATGGTTTTATATCATAAATATGATGTTCAAATTAAGATTTATCATTTTTGTATGTTCCAAACAGCATTATTTATAAAGATATTACCGATTTTAACATTTCATGTAAATAAAGGGAGGTAATAAAATTTTATTTTCTATAAAGTCTAAGTCAATAAGAAATGAATGCATATATTTTAATGATTACATATAATATGTACAAATATTTGCAGTACATATTTTTCGATTTTTTGAAAATTGTTTTACAAGCATAATTATATACAAATATAAAATTTCACTTAAGTGTTTTATACAACCTCAATTACAACATACATATTTGAAAACACACAATCTACAAATTTATTTTATGCACCAAATTATTACTTCACATCAGGTTCTTATGAAATGCTAAATTATATAATTATTACTATGAGAGTATTTATTCAACAGTAAGAAGAATCAAATCCGAGCAAGTACCTTCACAAGAACAGACGTTGTGGGGTGATATAAAGTTACAGGTGATATTAGGTGTTATAGGGGGCCTACTTATCACCGCCGGTGTTACAGGGGTCACATTTTATTTCTGCCATAAAAGAAAAGTAGATGGGAACCGATCGGATATTGTGTCGTCAGTAAACGGGATGGGTAGATATTATTTTCAAATTATGTTTCATACTGAACATTTTAACCATGTCAAAGAACTTTTTCTTAAGGTACATTTACTGTCTTGATACCTTAAATGGCATTATGCTCATTTGTTTTCTTAGTTGAGTTCAATTGACTATATATTTCAAAAGATTGACTGTAATTATGGTGAATATTATACGAATAATTGATGATAGGCCATGTTAATGATAAAATATAAATCGGCGCTAAGGCTACAAACTCTTTTTTTTAATAAAATGAATGTTACAAGTAAATTACTATGGACATAGAAATATCCTTGAGCCACGCGAGTTATTTATTGTTCATACGAGGTAAATTATCAAATTGAAAAGAATTATGGCAAAATGTATACATATTTTACCTTTACTTCTTCTCATTATATACCCTTGGATGGGCAAAATGTCACTTTAAAGTTTTACAATATAAAATTCAATGCAAATATAATTGATTTATTATATTCATACTTATGTCATCTTCTTACCATCTTTCAACGATGTGATTGCCAAATAAATTTGTAACTCTTGTTACAATGTATAAAAACATAAGCGATCTGGTGTGCTGAATACTTGCAATTTAAGTCTTTCGTACAGAAGAATTGACTGTTCAGTGATGCTTATGAAGACAAATGTATAAATATTTATTTACCAAACATAAATACGCTGTAATTGCAAATATGTTGTTTTGTAGAAATGCAAGTGTTATCTGGTATGGAAGGCAGTGAAACGGTAGAACAAGACACACTAATAACAAGACCGAACACAGAAAATAATTTACCACCAACTTTTCTTGAAACGCAACAACGAACAAATAATGTTGAGGGAAATCTAACAGCAAATGAAAACATACATGACCTCATGGATGAAACAGGGCATCTGCTAGAAGAATATAGACCTAAGCCTTCTGCTAACGAAAATGGAAATCATGTAGCTAACGTTACCTTGACAAGGAAGAAGTACCAAATTATGCTTATCTATATCCCAGATGCAGAAAATCCACAACTTGTTCAAAAAGTTGTAGAATTGGATCAGAGATTGACTAATGATTTCGGCATTATTATTGAAACACCTACAGCTGGTAATCTGTACGACTTTGCGGAATCAGCCTTTGATAAGTATTTAAATGTTGTAATGATAATGTCTAAAGAATTAGCAACAGTTTGTCGTCAGTTTAGAACTGCTGACGAAAGGTCTGTACAATTACATTGTAATAAAAATCGTGCTATTCTGCCATGCATTGTGCTTAATAAAATGGAAAACCTAATACAATTTCCAACATCAATACAACATGGCACCAAACCTTTGCTTAACATTGTTTGTCTTGATGAGAGTCGTGAAACAAAACAAGCGCTTGAAGACTTTTTAGAGGATCACCAATTTCTTGATACTAACAACACCCGTCTGCATACAATATGTAAAAGTGATCTTATTTCGGAAGAACTCTCGCCAGGTCTCAAAACGCTGTTAAACAATTTTAAACCGTCGGTTAGGCACGATATACCAGCAGCCATTAAACTTCAGATAATGCAGTTGAACAATGACACGGACAGTTTGAACAGTGAGTTGGAGCAATGAGTAGTATAGGGGTCTCTTAAGCCCCAAGACTGCGCACGAGCGGCGATAGTAGATGTCCAGAGTTCGAGAATATTTTTCATATTGTTCTATTTTTTTACCTGAATAAGTGGTGAAAATAGGTTTCTTAAACCCAGCAAAACAAAATCAATGTGGTGCAGAGTTGATTCGATTGAGCCACTTGTTGACGTCAGATGTGTACAAACTCTCTTCTGTCCACATATCTAGCACCGTCTGATTCAGAATAATTCAAAATTCAAGATCAAGAGCTTTCAAGTTGTGATATGAAAGAAACTGTAGAAACATTGGATAATCTGTACTTACTGAAATAATCTGATCTGAGTGAAAAAGACATTTGTGGGCATTCATGATGTCATGAAACCTTATTATAATATGGAATGAAAGATTGAAATATATACATGTATATATGTTTATTGTATATATACACTTTCTCTACCAAACTTTTCATATGTACATGTAAATGCATAACAACAATTTTATTATCCATTACTGAAGCTTTTATATCGAATTGTACTGATAAAAGTTTGTTTCAAAATCGCTTATAATAAATATTGAAATATAGTCATACCGGTATGAAAATACCGAATGAAGACTTAAAGTGGATTTTAGTTCCTTATCAGTTACTAATTATTTATTCTTATGTAGTGGTTTGCCTGCCCCTGCTCTGCCTTGTGCCCTTTCCTGTTTTTGTTTGGGGTCATCCTGGGCTCCTTGCCACTGGCTCTTGTTACTCGGTCGGGTGGGGACTGCGTTCATTGAACGCCGCCTTTCCTTGTTGATCTTGTTTATCATATTTTGGTCTACAATAGGCACATTTTCCATAAGTATGTCGTATATTAATAAAACCAATAGAAATGTATTATTTGGATATTCTTATATTGCTTGAAAAAAAGGTGATCAAGTAGTGCGTGATTTAGTATGATTATTTATATGATGAATAATGATATTTTGTTCTAGATCAATTTATTTTGATGAATGTCAAGACCAATAACTTGTATGTAAAATTTCAGCTTACTCCATTTTTTCTGGAATAATTTTCTAATTGCTTAAAATAATCTAAATTGCGTTGCAACGTTTTTTTACTCAAACCGGGCTAAGAACAGCACAAAGCACGATTTTCAATTCATTTAAGAGTATAGTTTTTAATTATCTTTCTGTTTTAAGTGAGCAAGCTGATTTATGTAAGTAATTCAAATTTTATGTTTTTTAGGGTTTTTGGCCTCGGTGGAGTTCCTTTAATATCAGCTTATCATGATGTAAATAACTTGTAGATATATGAAAAGCGTATAATGCCATAGTGTTGATTTGTGACAATCTTTGTACAACGATTTACCTCAGGTTTTCATTATTCCGTCCATTTGTATTTTCTTATTTGTTTAAAAAAATATATACTGTCCATTATGATTGTTAAGTTCCGCTTATGAGACCACTTTTAATGTTAAAAATTAAAAAAAAAATCACACACATTATAGAGAAACAAAAATAATGAAATGACCAACTAAGATATATTATAGAGACACAAATGACTCGCAAACAGGACTATTATATGTTATTTTGGTTTTGGAGTGATATATGTGGATATATTACCTGTTAAGATTTTATATCACCCGAGCCGTTAGGCGAGGGTGATATTTTATCTTGGCAGGTAATATATCCACATATATCACTCCAAAACCAAAATAATAATTTTATTACCCTTCCCCTGCCGAGTTTAGACGATTTTTTTAAAAAATCATTGCTGTTTCAAATGAAACGTCGAAATAAGATTCCCTTTAGGATACCTCTTCGTCACAACATGACGTCACATAAATACATGACGTATTTTTCCCGTACCTTACGAAAGTAAACAAGAGAAAAGGAGTAGTCTATTGAACGCACTTTTTTGTAATTAATATCAAGCTTTCACAAGGTCATATTTGTTTTCGATACTGATGGTAATATGTATCATTACTCTACTTTGGTAAATATTGATCATTTGACAGTTAAAAAAGTGCTTTTAAATCGGAATTTACACCGCGTAAAATCGAACCGTACGCGCATCACATCAGCGCATGTTGTTTACAACGTTGGGTACAAACGGAGAAATTTAGTGTGTATATTACCCGTCTGGCTCGGTTATATCAATTTCTTTCGGGTGATCAATATCCAATCAAAAAGGCGGAAAAAATATGGAAGGGTAATAAATCATTATATAGACTTTCAGTTTGTATGGTCTCATAAGCGGATCATTACTGTGAAACAAAATACATGTATTCTTGTAAATATATATATAAGATCAATGTATGTATTTGTTTATAAGATTATAATAGAAGTTTTATATGATTTTACTTTTGTTTTTGTTTTTTTTTCCAAATGTTTTCGCATTTTATGAATGTTTTATGTGCTGTTACTGTCAATATTATGTTCTTAACATTTACTTATGTTTGTTTAACATTTAACCATGTTTGTGCTAATAGTAAAATACCATACATTGCTTTATGCAGATAATCTTGTATCTTTATAATATTCAATATTCTTTTATAACTTTAAATTGTGCTGAAAACTGAAGATGTGCCTTTGCTTAATCATTTTAAATTATAATTTTGTTACAGTAATTTAAATAATTTACCGTTTGTTATTGACTGTTTTTCTAAAGATATTTTTGTTTTCGTTTTTTTTCAAATCGATGTTGTACATTTTTATTTTTATGATATTTTATTTGCTTTAAAGGATCTGCATGTGTCTAATCTGTCCTGCAATATATTAAGTTTATAACAAAAAAAAAAAAAAATGAAAACATCAACAACAACATTTATCTTTTATGTATGTACGTATCAAATTGGACATTTATGATAACTGAATTTTTTACTATCCAAAAAATGACTGTCGTAATAGTGATTGACCAACAGTTGATATTGGAAAATGGTTGGCATACAATAATTTGAATTTAAAGAAAGAAACGCATATTAAAAATGAAAACATGATAAATAGAATACCAAACAAGTGTATGATTTAATAAAACTTATCAGGCTCGACACGAAAAGAGATGATGGGCTTGACAGAGCTACGGCCTTGACCTGCCTGATAAAGTTTGTTATATTAGACACTAGCATGGTATTCTCTATATATATCACATGTATAAAACACGTTTAAGGAAGAAAGGTCATTTTAATGACATATCATAAACTTCTAAACCTGCTAAATTTGTGTAGAGCATTTGTAAGAATAATCAATTTGAAGGTACTAAATGAAGCTTCCACAGGTTTAAAGCCTGATCAGACTTTCCGGACCTGACTTTACACTGTTGGCAATGGCTGATCACTTAAGAAGATGCAAATTGTATATACTTGTTTCTAAATGACTTGTTCTTTGTACATACCATGGTATACCTAAAACGGTATCTGCAGCTAAATTTGCATTGTATATTAATAACTAGATGTAAAATGTGGAAAAATGAAATATGCAATACATGTATCAAACGATCTGATGGATTTATACCGGACTGACATATTATTGCATATTTCATACACATTATAATATATGCAGTCCTTTTTAGATCTTTATCAAAAATGAATTAATTAAAGAATAAAGTACATATATATTGTTGTTTTTTTAAACTTACGATGCTTTTGACATAGTCCTGTCTTTATTTGTGGCCATTATAATTAATATATGTAACAGAAATATTGACCAAGTGTGCCACGTGTCAGCCAGCCGCCATTATAAGCTTGCCTGTTTCGAAGATAAAGTCGAGCTTTTATGATCACTGCGTCGTTGTTGTCATCGACGTCGTGCAAAAACTTTAATAAAACTTATTGCTATTATTCAGATGAATTTAAAAATGTATCAACACGAAACTTGGAATACATGCTTATTATGACAAGGTTCTGTTGTAAGACACGAGGCATTATTCTAAAAGAAATGTTGGGCGGGGATATGTCGTTTTAATTAAGAATTATTGTCAAAATTACCTACATTGTATTAAGTAGAAAGATAAAAAAAAACTACAAAAGTCTTACACAAAGTAGCTCGATACCGGAACTGCTATTAATTAAAAGCGGAAAATAAAAATGATGATGATAATGATGATAAAATAGCGAAATGATGATGATGATGCCGGTGGTGATAAGTAGTATTATTGTTATCATCATCATTATCCTATTTTTTAACGGTGAGTTCTCTCGCTATCCGTTTCTTTGTTGTCACAAAACGTACCCCAGAGAAAAATGAGCAAATCAATAGGCAAAGAACTAATTGTAACCAATTGTAAATTAAAACTAAATTGTAAATCAATTGTAACTAGTACCTGCACTCCAGTTAACGCTTTATACATGTATATGTATGTATACGATTTAACTCTGACACATTTTCAACAGAAACTATGATACAATACAAGAGGGACGTGGCAACTGGTGTAGTGTTCTGGTGAAACAATACAGATCTATTTTTCTTTCCAGGCCCTGAGGGCGTTTTATCAAAATTTTTACTGTTTGTTGCTAATGAAGAGAACATGTCATTTAGTCATTAAGCATTTTATTAATATCAAGCCGATACATTCTTTTTAATATTTTGCCATATGTGTAGGTCATAAATATCATATGTCAATGCTTGCCGTTTGTAACTAGACCACAAAGAAAGCGGAAAATATAATAATTGGCATTTATAAACAAATAACAATAATAAATTTTCAATTTAATTTTAATATTGATTTGTATCTAGTGGTTGTAAGACAAAAATTTCCACGATTTATACATTGTACAATATTTATACTAAGGAATAATATTAACTGGCCATATAAAACTTCTACTATTTCAAAGAAACATAAACAAATCATTTATTGGTATGAACCAATGACTTACAAAGAAAATAAAACAAATTCATATAATTACTTAATTAAATGATATGCAAGTCCAAAGACTTATAATGTACATATATAACGTCCTAAATTCAAAAAGCTCTCCAAACTCTGGAGTAATTGCACAAATTTGGCTATATGTACACTTTTCATACGAGTGTAATTTAATTTATTATAAGGTATCAGATATTATTAAGTTATGCCTATAGAAATTTAAGATGTTCACTTCACAACAGCAAATATCAAGTACCGTGTTATGGCTGTAAAAGTTTGGTACGCACTTTTCAGTTTTGTTTTATTTTCTCGCTCTTCAGGATCATTAATTCCAGCACATTTAGTTTTGTAGTTTGAATATTGCTTAAACCGGTACTATAGGGCGGGACGTCGCTAAGAGCCATGAGGTATGCTGCACTTTTCCACAATACCTCTTGAATAAATTCTATCAAACCGAGATTGCAAATTTTCATTTTATTTTGTTGTTTTCATTGCTTCAATAGGAAAACCTTTTTACCCTTTTTTACATACATTGTAAAACTATACATGTATATTGGAAGGGCCGATTTGCGATATAAAAAATATTATTTCGAGGTAACCATTTACGGTTGTGCAGTACATTTCTAAAATAATTGATTAACACATGTTTTGAAATGGTAGATACAAGAACAACACAATAAAAAGGTATTTAATAACAACATCTTATCACATAATCACATCATAATGACCACATTCAGTATTCAAGTAATTGTTTCAAAATGAGCAAAGAATTTATGCTATTAGCTATGAAAAGAGAGACTAACCATAAAGTAGTATTTATTCATTAGGAATGAGAAGAAATCATCTTGTAAATAAATATGAGTTAGAAGAAAGCACACTTTTCCATGAAATTAAAAAAAAGCAACACTACACTTTCCAATGTAAGAATGCAGCATGTAGTAACCATTTTAAATGTTTAATGAACGAATTTACTTGCAGATATATAGAGGCTGCAATTTACAATGTAAGAACGCAGGATGTAATTTTGGCAGCGATTATCTTCCATTAACAGAGTTGGTTACAGCAATATCAGAACTGCGGTTCTATAAAAAAAGAACATGACTTTTCTAATTTTTTTTATTGCCTATTAACAGTCCTATTTATTTCCTTTCAGTACTCGTTTGTGTCAAGTCCTTTATCATAGCCCCTCGAGCAAGGACACGAATGTCAGCCATTGTAAAACACTATAGACCTAAAAGCTACATTAACTATTTAGGTGTGAAAATTCAACTGTATTACTCAATTTCTTGTTTACTAATGTGATAATGTATATAGGGACTACAAAATAGTTATAAATCAGAGCGGGCGCTGTGGTGCAGTGGTAACACTGTCTGACTACAAGTCTAGGGGTTGCGAGTTCGATCCCCCGCTACTCCACTAAAAATACTAACAACAACAAGAATAAAAATGACTCTTGTAATGGCGATTTCAATATAAAACGTAATTCACACGATTCATAGCTTTCACAATGAACGGAACTAACGGAGCACCATTCAGCATTGACAGACAGGACACTTCTCACACACTCACAGACCGGACACTACTCACAACTGACAGACAGGAAAACGACTCACACACTGAAAGGACACTAGTCGCACACTGACAGACAGGACACTACTCGCACACTGACAGACAGGACACTAGTCGCACACTGACAGACAGGACACTACTCACAGACTGACAGACAAAACACTACTCACACACTGACAGACAGTACACTAGTCGCACACTGACAGACAAAACACTACTCGCACACTGACAGACAGGACACTAGTCGCACACTGACAGACAGGACACTACTCGCACACTGACAGACAGGACACTAGTCGCACACTGACAGACAGGACACTACTTGCACACTGACAGACAGGACACTAGTCGCACACTGACAGACAGGACACTACTCACACACTGACAGACAGGACACTACTCGCACACTGACAGAAAGTACACGACAGGCACACTGACAGACAGGACACTACAGACACACAGGACACTAGTCATACACAGGAAACTACTAACAGACAGGACACTTCTCACAGACAGGACACTACTCGCACACTGACAGACAGTACACTACTCACACACTGACAGACAGTACACTACAGACACACAGGACACTACACATACACTCACAGACAGGACACTACTCACACACCGACACATAGGAAACGACTCACACACTGACAGACAGGACACTATTCACATACTGACAAACAGAACACCACTACACACACACTGACAAACAGGACACTATTCACATACAGACGGACACAACACTAATCACACATTGAGAGATAGACAGGAAACGTCTGACACAATAACAAAGGACACTACTCACACAATAACACAGGACAGTAGTCTAACACCTACCAACAGGACAATACGCACACACTACACTACGCGACACACTGGCCGCTTCAGACACATACTAACACCCACATCATAGAATTCACACACTGTCACACACTCAAACACAAAACTGTACTTACACACTAACACATAGGGAGCTACTGACACACACTGTACACTATTCAAACACAGACATATTACTAATAAAACATATGACACCATTCACACAGACACATATGGCACAACTGATACACAGTAAACGACTGACACAATAGCATACAGGACACTACTCACATAATGACACACACTGCATACGACTGACAAACTGACACATATAGCACTACTCAAACATAAGAAATGACACGCACCGACACACAGGACACAGCTTAAACAATAACATACAGACACCCAAAGCACGCATGGCACCCCACACAAAACGTACACACTAACAAATAGGGTGCTACTGACACACCGTATATTATTCAAACACATACATGGACTGACACACGACACTACTCATACACTGGCAGACAGGACACAACTCAAACACTGACCTTACACACAGTCCACTACTACTTACATTATGACATGGCACAATGCATACTGACCACTATGATGCAGACAGCGAACAAGTCACACATGACACTACGCAAACACTGACACACAAGGCACTACTTACACAATGACCTTACACGTCACACACGTGATTTTCCTTTTAGTCATAAATTAATTCAGACCTTTTCCTACATTCGCAATAAAAAAAAATATTAATTGACATTTTGTATTGATTTTTACTGTAACACGTGCAGTATATTTTTCGCCAAGACGTGGATTTAAATCTAAACTGCATGTATATCCCTTAACTATAAATACAAAATTCATGTAGGTTGACCTTTTGACGTCATTTTTACTTAATTAATATTCAAAAGCGGCCCATGAAAGCGCATGTGCAAATGACTATTTTAACAAACGCGGTTCTATGAAGCACTATTAAAAATAGAAAGTGACTATGAACAGAATTTGATATAGTATCGACATTTGTTCTTCTATGAAAATTAACACTCATTTTTTTTTAAAAAATAGAAGCGGTTTTGCTTTGGAGAGAACTAAAAAAAATTCAAGTAATCTTTAAATAAAAAAATTTAAATTTTGTGATTTTCCCAAAGGGAGTTGGTGAAAAAATTTTTTCACCAATAAAAATTAAAATGAAATCCCGAAGGATAGATGGGTGCCATGTGGGGCAGAATATGAACATTTAAAATGTATGTAAAAAATTTAAAAATTTAAAGAAAAAAAAGGGTACAAAAACAGAAAACCCAATTTTAAATATTTTTCCAAAATTAACCAAAGTGTTTTAAAATTTCAAAATTTTTAAAGTTTTAAAATTTCCCTTTTTTTCACTTTTTAAAAATATATTTAAAGTACAATCCCAATTTAAAGTCAAAAGAATTTGGTTTTTACATGAAATTTGTGAAAAAGAAGCGTATTTAATTAAAGTCTAAATTCAATATGAAATAAAATCGGTTTATTTTATACATTTCAAACACGAAAAAGTAGCTGTCTGAAATAATTCTATAGATTTTTTGTACACAAATACAAATTTTGAATACATATTTAAATATGTCATAAAAGTGTTTTGTATAACAGTAAAAATCTGCTGAAATTATGGGCATTGACTCTTCCGTGGCGAGTGGTTCAGGTCGCCGACTTTACTATTACCTCTGTGGGTTCGAATCCAATAAGAGATTTAAGATTTAATTTCATGTGTGGAAGATTTCAAGCTAGCTAGTTCCACTGAGATGCCCAACTGGCCTCGAAATATCATACAAAGAAGCACCTGAGGTATTTCTTCACCATTTAAAAAACTTTAAAAACGCCTAATGACATTCTCTGTGTCAGTATGGCTTAAAGATCCTGTTACAAACAAACAAAATTTTTTATGGTTTTAAATCATAAATATGATGCTTGCAAATTAAAAATTCAATCACATTATAGTTCCAAAAAGCATTATTTAAAAGATATTACCGAATTTAACATTTCATGTAAATAGAGGGAGGTAATGAGAAATTTATTGTCTACAAAGTTTTTAGGTTTTAAAATAGTATGTATTGCTTGTGCTGTTTGAGCAAATAAGCAAAATCAAATGGACGGGTTATTGTGAAAGTGAGGTAGATTGTTGTACAAAGGTCAATACATTTCTAAGATCAAATTTATCCAGCATTTCTGCAGCACCGTCAATTATACTTGAATGAAGTATACATTTTCAGCCTTTACTGTGTGTGTAAAGAAGAATGTTTCAACATTTTTCCCTGCTGCCAATAACTTGAATCACCAGACCGAGTCTGCAACATTGTTAATTGTATTGCCTTGGATGACCTTATTCTAAGTTTCATATTTTGTGAGATACAAATATCTTTGAACTTGGGATATTCATAATGATTCCTCTAACTCACTGTTCAAGCTCTCACTGTCTTTATTCAATTCCATTATCTTCATTTGCAGGTCAAGTGGCATACCAGATCTAACAGACGGTTGTAAACTGTTAATAATGTTAATGCAAGGTGGCGAGATTTCATCTGAAGTTAGATCACTTACACAAATTATATGCACACTGGTATTTCCAGTATAAAGAAATGGATGATCATTTGCAAATAAAACAAGAGCTTGTTTAGTTACCCTACTGTTGTCAAGGCAAACAATATAAATCAAAGGTTTAATGTCACGTTGCATTAATATTTGTGAATTTATCAGTCTTTCCATTGTAGCTAGCACAATACATTGTTGAATATCACGATTCCTTGTAGTTAATAATTCTTCTGACATAATTTCGTCAGCGTTTCTAAATTCATGACACATTTCCGCTAACTCTTCAGACATAATTATCACTACATTACAATACCTTTCAAAGGCTAATTCTGCAAACTCGTATATATTTCCTGTTGATCCTCTTTCAATAATGATGTCAAGATTGTTGAGTAAAATGTGCTCGAGTTTTGCCACCTTTTGGATATGTTGTATATTGTTTGCGTCCGAAATATCAATGAGCAACACCTCGTGCGTCTCTTTTACCGATGCAACCTTTCCATTACCGTTGAGACTGTTTGTAACATTTGACTCATGGCTATATTCTTCTACAAAATGTCCTGTTTCATTTATGTTGTCAGGTGGTCTTCCACTGACTGTGATATTTCCTTTGCTATTATTTGGCGTTGCCCGATGCGTTTTAAGAAGATTCTCCATCTCTTGATAGTGAATATTTTTATATGTCTCATGCAAACGTGAAGATGATAAATCTATATCATTGTCCTCGCCTGTCATATGTGTTTCCTGTTCGTTGTTGATCACAGAAAATCGTCTTCCAGAAAAGTCTACCATTTCTACAACAAATTCATAGTTAGTGTATATGCATCATTGATATATACAGACATGCTTTATTGTTCATAAATAAACATTATTGAACGACTTTTCTGTTCTACAACTATTTATTTAAAGTAGTTCTAACTCATTTGGACTGCTGAAACAAAACGTGAACTAAAATCAAAGACCACGTTACAATCTCTACAAGCCAGATATCTTACTTTTGGAGATAAAACCGTTAAGAAACCTACACATTTATATATAAAGTGTTGACTTTACTCCAAATTGTAAATTGTTAAACGTTACAATCTCAAAATAGGATAAGAGTATAAGAGGTTGAAATTTAACTCTTTGATTAGGTTTAGACTAGTTAAAATCTAAAACAAATTAAAACAGTATTTACCAGTGTCACCCATTGAAGGCAAAAATTCCGATCTGCTTCTTTCGTGTTTTCTTTTCTTGCAGCGATAGAACGTGACGCCTGTAACAGCGACTGTGACAAATATTCCTCCTAGAACACCTAATATGACCTGAAGCTTTCTACTATCCCATAATTCCTGTTCTTTTGAAGGAGGCTTTTTCGGCTGTATCTTTGATACTGTAATTGACATAAAACTATTACGTAATTCACAGTCTCGAAGATTTTATATAAAAAACAAGACAAGGGTAAGTCCCTCAATAGCAATGAAATCAAATTTCAAACAGTGAAAATTGCAGACTTGGTTTGATTAAGTCTCGTTACAAGCTCAATGATAGAGAAATTTTCAAAGGTTAATCAAATATTTTGATTTTGATGACAACCATATGAGTCATGACAAACAAAAGGTATAGTATTCATCATTTTTGACAATTCTTGGAATAGATAAACGGCTGGGTAAATGACTGGGGAGGCAAATAAGTTATAGAAATAGCAACGAAAAGAGAGCCCCGGGTATAAATCAAATTGCCGAGTGTTTTGATGTTCTTTGAACTTCTTTCTTTTTTGTATCATAGGCAAAAATAAAAAAAACTCGATTTCTGTTGTCAAAATATGAAATCACAAAAAAAAGTAACAAATGAACGAGCATCTAAATATTATATTTCTATCCTTATCACTTTCTCTAGCGTCACAATAAGTAAATCCAAGAAAAATTGAGCCAATCGATGGTATGCTCTGGAGTGCGGGTAACTAATACCTGTACTCCAGTTTACACACTGTGCATGTAGACGCATTTTCAACAGAAAGGTCCCAAACTATGATAAGGAAACTAAAACATAGTTACCATTTAAACTTTGAGATGTGTAAACAAAATAATCATTCCCGGCATCACAGCGGTCACTGATTTCTTGTTTGTATACAGATTCGTATGGTCCGGGTTCTTCACATTTTAGATAAAGCTATAAATAAAGTATGGCAATGTATAAAAAAATTCTTCTACCTTCTTAATAAAAATAACAAAAACATGTATGGCATAAAGTGATAAATATAAGAATAGTAAGTATAAAAAAGGACCAATTGCTCAAATATCCTTTTACGGTCATTGACTTCAAACGACTTGCCCGTGGCCGCCGTGGGTTCGAATCCCAACAGGGACCTTTGATTCTTTCATGTGAGGAAGGTATCCAGATTGCTTACGGAACGTCTGTGGTTCTACTCAGGTTGCCGTTCATTCCTAAAACAATGCACGGAAGGGCACCTGAGACTCTTCCTCCACCTGTAAAGCTGTAACATCGCTATATATGACCAAACTGTGTCGGTGTGATGTAAAACCCAATCAAACAAACACACATATCCATTTATATATCGAGTTGTTGCATGTTCCAATACAAAGAGTGCATAACTAGCATAACAACATTTTATGCAGTATTTCATTTTGTGATGTCAGCAAGACTTTTTAGTCAAAATGCAATAAAACTTAAATAAAGGCTTTTGCAAATTTAACTACAGCGTTCAAAGCTGCAGATATAATTAAACTATAATCTGCTAACACGGCTGTTCCTAAACACTTAATTTGTTTAGAATAACACTTCTAATTTGAACTATGCTGTAAACGATGCTTAGGAGTTTTAACCGTTGCTTGGATTATTGCTAAATCTTGAGACTGAATAAAACTGGCACTTCTTTCTTTTCTATTTTTACCATGTTTGACAATAATAAATGTTTCCTTAAGAAATGTATCGATGGATCAGCAACAAAAATAAAGAGGTAGTACCTATCTAAAGTATAAGTAAGTAAAGACTACATACTGTTATCATTACACGTAAATATACTTTGTAATTTTCGGCGCTAAACTTGTGAGATCTCGTGTGTATTTCACCATCTTTTACATCAAACGGTCTAACTTCCTGTGAAAAAATAAAGTGAAATCAATCATTGAAGGAATTGTTGATTCAGAATATATAAAGGTCGCGTTTTTCTTTTCCCTTAATTTAACCAATATGATTCGTGTGTGGGCGCTTGTTTATAGCCAGATTAAAAATATATATACACCAGAAAAATATGCGTTTATCAATGAATAAAGCTTTAGTTTAATATTGTTGAAGATACATGTACAAACTTGATTAATAATAATTTTATAATGACTGAGATTTCTTTAAATTACGTTGGCGGTACATTTTCTTTTGACAAAAATAAGCTTGTCTGTACTTAAAAGAATTAGCGTTAAACAATATGATCAACCACGTGACCAGTATACAATCAACCATACTGCGAATGGCCAGGAATTTTATGTGTTTCGTGAATGTCTGGGTAAAGCATTCATAAAACAGGAATACATGTACTCTGTTGATTATTCTTAAGAATAGGTCATTTTTGATAGACTTCTTGTATCTTAAAAGAATAGCGAGAGAGAGAGAGTGGATTACTGCATTGATTTCAGTCTATTAAGTTACAATCATTAATTATTAACCCTAATGAGGTTTGTAGGTTGCGAGTGTACATGTCTTGTCTTGTCAGGCCTGTCTTTCGTGCAAAAAAAAAACCAATATATTTTATTGACATTTGTCATATCTTGGAAAGAGCCTAAAATATTTATTTACTATTATTCATTAAAAGTTCTAAAAAGACATAATAATTCAATTTCATATAAAATTATATCAACAAATGTTTGTAAAGATCTGGTAAACAATTTTTACATATCAATCAGAACATGTACCGATTAACGCACTGTCAAGTCATACAGTACTGTATTAAAGAAAGAATGAAAGAATGAAAGAATGAATGAATGAATGAATGAATAATGAATGAATGAATGAATAATGAATGAATAAATGAATGAATGAATGAATAATGAATGAATGAATGAATGAATGAATGAATGAATGAATGAATGAATGAACGAATGAATGAATGAATGAAAAACAAAGACAAAAAAATAAACAAAACATAAAAATACAATCTTACAATTTCTTCAATATGTCTGTCCTTAGGATGGGTTTCGGAAATATCAATTGAAGCACTTTGTAAATATGGAGGAACATTTGTAAAATTGATGAGGAATATGTGTTCACTGTAGTCATACTCCCAGCTTAGTTTCGGTTTTCCCCTATGACTTATATGACAGGCGCAATACTCATAGCTGTGGTCATCTGTAAACAAATGAGGAAAATCCCGTTTTGTGAAAATATGAATATTTGCAAATATGTTTGTAACATTTGCAATAGTGTACCGGACCACAATGCAGGCACTGGAATAGTAATGCCAACATCAGTTCGTGCTTTTTTACTGTGAACATGCTTTTTAATAAACTGAACCATTTTCTGACTCATATTTCGAACTGTTGGTATATATAGCTAAATACACCCTTTATAACATTGTGGAATACCAACTCATTTATTTGACATTTGCTTTTTCAATGCTTGTACAACGTGCTTGCAAAAACACAAGTTCTGATTTCTACTGACAATTTGTGTTTCTTTTAAACTTTCAAGCATTTACGGCACTGGTAACAAATATCATTTTAATACTATTCAAATGAAAAGTATGCGACAATAGATCATATCATGTTATTATCAAAGATCATATCATGTAAATATCAAACTGTAATGATAGTTTGTAAATGCTAACTGATGTTTTCCTTTCTGATTTAATACAGTCCGTTAGAAGTTTAGCCATTAATTTTTTAAAACAAAAAGTGAGTAGCCTTTTCCGCTAGTTTAGAGCAAAAAAGTGAATAACTTTTTCCGCTAGTTTAGAGCAAAACGTGAATAGCCTTTTCCGCTAGTTTAGAGCAAAAAGTGAAAAGCCTTTTCCACTAGTTTAGAGTAAAAAATGATTAGCCTTTTCTGCTAGTTTAGAGCAAAAAGTGAATAGCAATTTTCCGCTAGTAAGGACAGCCTACAAGCATGTGCAGAGTCTTAACATTACCACATCTTTAACATTTGGTGCCCAGCAAGTTTCGCATATCAAACATTGTGACAAAGAAACAGTTCCAGAAAATAGAAGCTTATTAAAAGTTAATGTTGTAGATAGATTCATGCAGGTTAGAGGAGTTAAGAAGGACACAAATACGGCAAGTTTGGAATTTAAATCTACTTTTGAGATAGGACTGAAGATACGGTAATTCCTTGTTGGAAACACCTGTACATACCAGACCACATGTGGACTCCTGTTCGTGTGGAGAGTGATACGAGGGACCTACATAGTCGCCCAGGTCTAGAGTAGCTCCACAACTGAACAACTAGGCCAACATCCGGTTTATCTAGTAACGGCAGACAGTCGAAATAGAACTTCGCAAGTCCCTAAAATATATAGATATTGAACGCTTAAAGAGGTCACGCCATACTCATGCTCTTGGCTTCACATACATAGAACAAAGCTATAAGTAATTTGAAAGATCCGCAAAACGTAGAAATAATTCAAAATAAATGTAAAACTTGTTGCAAATGTCTTTAGATTAATTGATAATGATTAAAACATATTATAATGGTGTATTTTTTCTTTTGATAATTAGAACAAGAAAACATAGATTATAATAACTACGAAAGACCGGTGGGGACATTTCAACTTCCTGTATTCATAATTTCAACTTCATGAAATTGTAAATGCATGAAGTTGAAATCGTAAATTCACGAAATTGAATTCACGAAGTTGAAGTCGTGAGTTCATGAAGTTGAAATCGTGAATTCATGAAATTGAAATCGTGAATGCACGGAGTTGAATTCGTGAAGTTGAAATCGTTAATTCGTAAAGTACTTAGCAAAAATCGTGAATTCATAAAGTTGAAATCTTGAATTCATGAAGTTGAAACTGTGAATAAGTGAAGTTGAAATCGTGAATTCATGAAGTTAAAAATCGTGAACTCGTGGTGAAGTTGAAATCGTGAGTTCATGAAGTTAAAAAATCGTTAATTCGTGAAGTTTAATTCGTGAATTCATGAAGCTGAAATCGTCAATTTATGAAGCTGAAATCATGTACTTGTGACTTCAAAACATCTTTCGGCGTATTCTATCTAAGGCAGCAGAAAGAATTAGATCTTGTCAGTTACTTAAATGCAATACATGCAATGAAATGATATTTACATTTATACCTTATCTTAAAAACATTCAAAATACAGTTAAATGTTTTGTTTCTCTAAACCTTACAAAACTATGAAAAAGTATTAAACAAAATGTAAATGAAGATAGTGATATATATTCCCAATTAATTCAGGTTTGTAAAACCGATTGAATTACTTTTGAAAAACAACAAAAAAAACCAAAAAACAAACAATACGTACGGATTTTCTACCTCTTTCAATTATTCGATGAATGCATGCCAAGTGTATATGAATGCTTATATGAACAGCAACTGTGAAAGATCGATTGAGTTCTCAAATGTATTTGAATACAGTCATGCTTGTAACGAATATGTAGTGTGGAGTGTCAATCAATAAATTAAACTTTTTTTCATCCCGATACTTATTTATTCTTGAACCGTTATCTAATTTACATTTTAATCGCATCTACGCAAAAGAATAATCAAATGCTGTACGCCAAATGCGGCCATTCATTTTTTATATTGGTGTATGAGATATCTTTTTAATATAATTATATCATTAAGATATGTGTCAGCTTTGGAGTCAATCGTTGCAAACTTGGTTTTTTCGTTTTGGCGGGAAGACATACATGGTTAAACACACGTACTTAATATCTTGGTTTTCTCTTTTCTGTTGCCAGACGCTCATGGTAAATCATGTGTACTTACATTGAGTTGCCAGTCTGTCCAGTGAAATACATGCAATTATCTTGGTTTTTTTTTTTTTTTAATTTTTCCCTTGCAAAACAGTCGTGGTAAAGCAAATATTTATCGTGGTTTTCACTTTACTGCTACCAGTTAGTCATAGTAAATACATGTACCAACCTTTTTGTATAATTTTTTTCTGCTGTCACCAATTTGTAGAAAATAAAACAAAAAATGTGTTTACCTGGGTTTTAACTTTTCTGCTGCCAGTCAATCGCAATACCACACATGTATCAGAGATATACTGAAATGGGTAACTTTCTATCTGATAAAATGTCAGGTTAATGAGAAACACCCTTGGTAATCTCCTCCCTGAAAAAAAAATAAAACAACACAAAATTAATTAGAAAATAAAACAAACAGTAACTATAGAACATTCACAGGTTCGCGTGCTGTCTTTTTGTCTTTTTATACAAAGACATTGCATTCAATGGCAAACATTGATTTGAATGTTTTGTTTCGAAGTAAATTCAATTCAAAATATGTTTATTTTTGCTAATTCGATACAACTCAATACTAACATGTTTGGGGTGTGAGTTATACTCTAAAGGTCTAAAACAATGGCAACAGAAGGGATCGAACCACATACCTCTCACATATCAGGAAATCACTTAAACGACTGTGATATTGTGGATGTAACGATGATCTTTACATTAAGGTAGTGTGACCTTCAAAATATTAGTTATAATTATTCTTCATATTAATTCTCGTAAACTAGACGGACAAAACTGAAGTGGGATCGAATATTTTACGATCTCATTAAAATCAGATCATCGTTTTTGCTCCATTCCTAGCGAAGGGTAGTGTGATTTAAATGAGATCAGAATATTTAAATGAGTGCTTTAATTCATTGACAGGTAAATAAAATCAGACTATATCACTGTCAAATATCACTGTCAAATATCAGAAAATACCATAGCTACGCCATACTTTTTTATCAAAAGTGTGCCAAATTTAGGCAATACTTGCACAGTATGGATCCATTCAGTACACTTAAGTCTTTAAGCGTAGATTAATTCAAATATTACCGTTCAACAACTGGTATTCTGATATGTTTTGCCAATAAGTTTGCAGAAATCGCTAATGTGAATTTAATATAGATCCGACAATTTCAATACCACGGATCGGATATTTCAATAACTTTTCAGTTTACTAACCTATCATATGACATCAATACAATAAAATATAATTGGAAATAACACTAATTATTCAAAATGCCATATTAAACGTTTCCAACCATTGGCAACTTGAGAAAAGAAACTTTAAACTAAATTATGTGTAATTATTGAATATCAAAATGCAGCTAAACCTTTTTTTCGAAGATCGGTTTATGACATTAATTTTATGACAGGCTATATGGGTGAAAAGCAAAATATCACCCGACCCGTTATGTAAGGTTATATTGCAGACAACCGTGCATCAACGGCCATATAATGTCTCGAAAAAAATAAACGAATAAGTTATACTAAAGAAAAAATTGCATCGTCTAAGAAGACGTTATTTAAATCATTTGTTTCGTCGACTTTCATTGGGTAATCGTGACGTTTATAAAATCTGATAAACTGCATGCTTGCTGTACATTTATGAAATAGCTTTCATTTTTCCTCCAAAAGAAGGGGTGTGATGCATTAATAATTCGGTATAAAAGGTTGAACTTGTTATATGGCCGTGTATACTAGGTTGTTTGTAGTATTATAAACTTGACGGCTCTGGTTATATCAGCTCGCCATTGTTAAATACTATATAACCTGACTATATAACCAGTCAGAGACGCTAATATTGTCATCTATATACACGCCATCTAGAATTGTATGAATTGTGTTTGCATCTAAGACATCAAGGGTGCAATATTATAAATCTGTTATGAAGAGTTATGCGGTCTTGTTAACGCGGTTGTTTGCCATATAACACAGGCTATGCAAGCTTAAATCCGTTCAATATTGAACCATATGATACAAGTGTAAAGAATCTATATAACTTTTAAATCATCATATGTTTCTCAACATTCTAACTAAAGAAATTACATGTATAATAAATAACGTAAAAAAATTAATCAAAACATATTTTTAAGCAGACACAGATTTTTAAAGTCATAAATATTATTAAAGTTTGTACCAGTCTGCATAAATTGCCAGCTAATGTTAGCCTTGTATCCGCCGTCTGTATATACTGAGGTAACGGACGGTATCACATCTTTCTCATTCGTCCTTTTTGTGTTTTTTCCGCTCATTAATCTTTCACATTCTGAAAATTAGAAAATATTCTCATAAAAATCTCATATTCCTTTTGCTCAGGATATACAAACATAGCGTCAAAGACGTGCTAAATGTTAGCGTTACACTTAAAGCGCGTCAATGAAAAAAATGATTCTTTTTCACATTAAACCGTCTTTATTTTGGGTATGTGATAAAAAGAATATTATATTCGCTAAATTTACTGAACTCAATGAATAAAATGACATTATGCTCCCTACAGGCCCGTATTATATACTTTATTCAACTTGTTCAATACATTTAGTATTGAACCATCACTCATTCAATATCCTCTATGTTTGGCTTGTCTGTTTGATTGGCTAGTTTAAAACATGTTTATGTATGCTTCATTGTGAATAATATGCTTTTTATAAGGTCAAATGGGCTTGAATTTTCAATCCCTTGTTAAAAAGGCAAACCTTAATAAATCATATCAATGGTATACTTATGGAGCATTTGCTTGAAAATGCCTTGCATAACGGATACCAAAATATTGAATGTACACCGAGTACCGAAAAAAAATCGGAATTAAAAGATATCATAAAACGGGTGTTACCTAGTGCAATCACTGTCAATAAAACAACTTGTGCGACATGAAATGCGCAATTACAGTGACATAATTCTGTCATTATTTTTATTGCTTTCGAGTGCTCCTGTAACTATGCAAGGAGATATGAAAACGATTTGTGTTTAAAAGATAACCTACCTGTCTTGTTATCAACCACTAGAAGCTCAACAGATCTGTCACTCATAGCCTGGTAATACAGTAATTCCAAATAAAAATTGTGTTTGCATATCTTAAACGTCTTAATCTCACACATAATCGTTGATTTTTGTAAATTAATTTCATTTCAAATAAATTCTTTGGTTTAAAAATATTTATTTAAGCTCTATTGCGAAACAAGGTCTTGGAACTTATATTAATCACTTTCGGGTCCGCTTCCTGGAACCAACCAGTGTTGGTGTCAAGAAACATGGTCGTGACCCGATTAGGGCTCGAACCCATAATCTCTTGGTTGAGAGACAGACATCTTAACCACTAGGTCACTTAAAGTACTGCACTCATTAAGATATCTAGTGCCTGGAGCGGAACTTTTAAAAATATAAAATTATATTTTTTTTATTTTTGAAATGCAAATTGATAAATGACTTATACAGGTTTGTATAAATAATAATAAATATCAGCTTACCTGGACATGATACCTAGCCGGACATTTGACCTTGACCCCTTGTGGTAAGTTAATGGCAACAGACGATGTGGTGCACAAAAATAATATCATTGCCAATATAACAGGATCCATATCTGTACAAATTAAAAATATTATGTGAACAATAACGCTTATTATCGAATACAACATTAAAAGGGGTGGGGTTTCGGGTTATGTCGAGAGGTGGATTCTTCTTTTCTGCTCGTTCGTACGCAAACAATTCAACAAAAGCAGTCGAAAGCTCATCTCGTATAACTATTAAAATGAGACGCTTTTCAAAGACACAAGATCAACTTAGATATCATTGTTATGATATAGTAAACGATAGCGATATTCCGCATTTAAGTTTGGAAATTATAGTTCAGATAATTATATAAATACCTTAATAACAGCTTTTTTTTTACAAATTTTATTTGAATGTACTTTAAGTGACCTTGTATGAACGACTTTTGAAACTATTGAAACTTATATGTAGTGTGTGCAAAAAAAACTGTTTGCATTTTCAAATTATAAATGAAGTGGGCGATATTGCATTTCAAAAACAGTTTATAAAATGCCTTGGTTATTATAAACACTCCTTAAAGACGTATTGATACGGTGCACTATGCCGCTTTGTAAATATATTTGAATTTAAAAGTTGAAATCCTCATTTACTATAAACGAATTTGTTAAATGTTAAAATGCCCATGTAATAATTAACTCGATATCTTTAGCGTATCAAAAGTATGCTTTTCATAAGAAGGGTAAACGTTCTCGATTGAGTTTGTGATTACATTTTTTTCTTTGATTTGCCATGTGAGAAAAAAAGAATAAATTCAAACAAATGATCAGACTAACTTTCTTAATATGCATCCTATAAGTCTATGTAATGTTTTCACAAAATCAGTGAATCGTCGGATCTATACAGTTTGGCCTCATATTTCCATTTAATGCCAGACAAAAGAGTTTTTTATAAACAAACAGTGTGTTCCTGTGGTTTAACCAATGCATTTAGTTAAAGACAAATATATGACAAGTGTGGAAGAAATTCGCAATGCACGGTCAAATATACAAATCCATTTATATCCCTCTTTGAAAGAAGAACTGATGCTTTCGCTCATCTGTCAGTCACTACAGTGTTGGAACAGTACGCTTTCAAAAAACATCATCAAAAAGTAGAATTTTTTAAATATCGCCTTTTTTCGCCCATTATTTCAAGCACATTGTCCGGTATATGCCGGAATACAGTATTGTGGTCAAACACTTTTTAAGTCTCACTCTTTAAAGTATTTTGATGAGCATTTATATAAATTAAACCAATGGCGCTCATTACTAGTACTTAATTACTGATCATGGATTCCGGTACTTAGTAGTTACGCTTCCATTCTATGAATCTACTATTACTACTAATCCGTTTCTGAAATGTTAATTTACTGCAACTTTTTATTCATTTTATAGATTTTTTCGCCTGTAAAATGATTCCGTGCGCTTTTATGTGCAATGCATGTATGTCAGTAAATAAACTACTTATCTTATCTATAAATCTCTCAACACTTTCAATGATTTATTAAACAACAATAATGATTAAGCTTACCAACAACGGCCCTTGAAACGAAATAAATGTTTTAATATAAACATTATCTCATAGCTGTCTAACACAAACGCTTTCTCACCCTAGTTATATATATTGCTTTTTGTTTTAACATTACCATTGCCTTAAACGCCAAATAATCTTAACTTGCTAAGATCACGGGGGAGGAAGTGTTACACGAAGGATGGAGTTCTTATGATAACTTGTTTGGAGTTCTTATGATAACTGTCACGGAGTTCCTGGAAAACGTTACGGATTTCTGTGGAAAACTTTTCTATATACTTGGAGAACTCACTTAAAAAATGGTTATTTTTAACTTTAAATGGGGAGTTTGAGGTGCTAAATTAAACTTTGATAATTAAACTTGCCCTACATATTGTATTATGTTTTCAGAGAAAATCTTTTAGTCCATATTTCGCCGCCGTTTAAAAAAAAAAAATCTGGTAGTTTTGAGAAAATTTTTCAAATTACTTGCTAATTCGTACATACTGACCTTTTCATTTGTGATCTTCTTTCGTTGCTATACATAATCACCTAATTATAGTGGAGATTTGCAAACATAAAGCCCGGGCTAATACATGTATACCCGATTTTTCAAATGTTACGGAGTTCTTGTGATAACTCAAAATATGTCCTGGAGTTCTTATGATTACTTTTGTACTGCCAGTGTGTTTCTTGTGCTTAATTACGACACGTTTAAGCGTATTTTATTAGTCAATAAGTGTGTAAATCATTATTAAGCATAGTACGCTTATCATTGCACAAAAATTTGGTTATATAACGATGGTTTTTGATCCTAATTAAATTTGTGCGAAATCATATTGGACATTATAAAACCAACGAATGCACTAAATGTTTCTGTGTATACTGTCCGTCAACAAAAGTTTTATGTCATAAGTTTCCGCAAATGCAACATTGAGGCCATGTGGCAAAATTAAAACACGATCATTCAATATATCTGGAGAAGACATGAAACTGCTTTGGTGTACAGTCTACATAGGATAAACATGTGCTAAGCTATCTTCAGGAACGACCCGCCTCCGTGGTCGAGGGGTTGAGTCGATGACTTCTAATCCAGTTACCTCTCTGGCGTGGGTTCGATCCCGGGAGATGCTTTGGTAGTTTAGCACGGAGGAAGTAGTCTAGTACTGGTGTAATCTCTCCAGGAACGATGGTTAGGAAACTACCTGCCCATATGACTGAAATACTGTTGGGAAAAGGCGTAAAATGAAACAAACAAACAAACAAACAAAAAATCTTCAGGAAAACCTGAATCAGCGTCACCTGTATTCAGCAGTAACATGGCTTAAACCGCCAAGGAAAAATTGTTTAAAACTTACACTTTTTTCTCAGTTACATGTTTTAAGTAACCGTCTTTCTAAAGCAGACAATAAGTAGTTGGGCTTCCCTCAAGAAGCGGCTAAGTAAATTGTATCATTATATACCATGTATCGTATATAACCGGGATATCCTTCACACCCATGCACCCGAAATGTATGATCTTTTTATGCATAAAAAATCAACCGATTACTACCGATTTACCGATTTCTTCGACAGATTTGCACGTGCCCAACGGGTTCGAGCGAAAGAAGTTCGACCATATATTTTTGTAATCAATTACAGCAAAAGTTGTTGCAAAATTTCCACTAGGACTCCAACTTTGATAAGAAAAATGTATGCAGTGATTTTCCGAAATATGGAAATTGCTGTACGTCACGTGATGCTACATTGGATTTAATAGAGAAAGGAACAAGGTCGATAAACGGCATGAACCTTACGGTGACTCACATGTCTTATTGAAGACTTACTTTCTATCGTCATACCATTGTCATAGAACTTTATACGTTTCTATGACAAAAACTGATACCTTTTAGAAATTGAAATACCCGTTGAATACATAAAGACGACACCCACCTCATTAAATTTAGATAAAAGGTAGTGCATACTACCTCCTATTTTGCACATGCATACCGATAGCATAGTTACTTAATGTTCTCTAAAACTGCCAGGAATAATGTATATATGACGAAATCATGCTTGAGTATTAAATTCAAAGCGTATTTTTATCCTGTAAGTAAATGCTCTACATCAAGTATGTTTACAGTCATTCCAATAAAATAAAAAAAAACACACACACACACACACACACACACACACACACACACACAAAAGACCAAAACAAACACAAAAAACACAAGAAACGGAGATAAGAAAAATATCTCTTGAACTGAAAAACACGATCAAAACCAACGTTATATAACCAAATTTTTGTGCAAATGATAAGCGTACTATGCTTCATAATGATTTACACACTTATTGACTAATAAAATACGCTTAAACGTGCTGTGATTAAACACAAAAACACACTGGCAGTAACAAAAGTTATCATAAGAACTCCAGGACATATTTTGAGTTATCGCAAGAACTCCGTAACATTTGAAAAATCGGGTATAAATTTATTAGCCTGGGATTTATGTTTGCAACTCTTCATAATAATTAGGTAATTAAGTTTAGCAACGAAGAAGATCACAAATGAAAAGGTCAATATGTACGAATTAGCAAGTAATTTGGTAATTTTTCTCAAAACTACCAGATTTTTTTTAAACGGCGGCGAAATATGGACTTAAAGATTTTTTCTGAAACATAATACATTATGTAGGGCAAGCTTAATTATCAAAGTTTAATTTAGCACCTCAAACTCCCCATTTAAAGTTAAAAATAACCATTTTTTAAGTGAGTTCTCAAAGTATATAGAAAAGTTTTCCACAGAAATCCGTAACGTTTTCCAGGAACTCCGTGACAGTTATCATAAGAACTCCAAACAAGTTATCATAAGAACTCCATCCTTCGTGTAACACTTCCTCCCCCGTGAAGATCACTGTGTCTTATTTGTCACCGAATTTCTACCAAGTAAGTACCCGGGGTAAACGCTAAATCTGAACATGTTAGCCTTTCACCTTCTATATTAATAAAAGACTTGTCCAACTTCAATATTTGGAGCTGCCAATAATCTTTTTTTAAGAATCATTTGATAAAAAAACTAGAAGTTGGTCAGACTCCACAGATATGATGGCAAACCTAAATCTAAACTAGTGTCGAAGAGTCAAAGAATAATCCCTTTTGATTTCAGCAGTTAAAGTTATTTAAGGTTATTTTTATATTTAGTGCCGCAGGTATCTTTTAATCACTATGTGTTCATTTGAAAAAGTAAACTGATTTAAACATGTTTCTTCACACAAAAAGACGTGCTGCTAGTTCTATTTGTTATATATTATATTGAAATATATTGACTTGCATTGACTTGAATGAAGTCCAGACTTTTTACTTACGTCGAACGTTTTGATTTTCTTTAGAAAAGACAAATCATTGAGAATAAATTATAAATGTCGAAAACTTTGATTAACAGAAATACACAAACAAGTCATACATTCGTTAACCAAAATATTCTCTAAAATACACTTTAAATAACAACGGGCATTTTAGGTTGATTTCAAATGACAAGTTTGGTTTAACGTGAAACACAATTATATTGAGTAAGAAATAGAGGATATTTGTTTGTTTGTTTGTTAGATGAAATTTTATTTCATCGAGTGAGCTTTAAAAACAGTATTCTCACGAGTGGCGTAGCCACGAGTTAGAATACTGTTTTTAAAGTTCACGAGATGAAATAAAATTACATCTTACACAGCAAACAGACAAATTTTCTTTTTATTTTATGCTTAAAAACAAGTTTAAACGAAATTTCCATAATTTTAACGTTAATATTAAAATCTGTTTCCCCCATTGAGAGCCCCATTTAGACGGAATTTCTCATTTAAAACAAGAAGTCTTGAGCTGAAAAATAAGTCCGCCAATCAAGGTTAAATGACGGTGATATTTATTCATTTTATTAAAAAAATATGAATGATTGCTTGTTTTAATAATAAAAACAAACAATTCTTGCAGGAGAAAATTCCAATCATCCATCCATATTTCTGTTACTTACTGCGAATTTATATTAGACCTGGCTTTCTAAAATGTAAACGGCAGCCATTTTTTAAAGTTGTGTATTTCATGGGAGGAAAATAATTGTGTAAGATTCAGAAGGATATAATTTGGATTTGTTAGTCATACACCTTTTTAAAAGAAAGAAAACTTATTTGAGGATTGTAACAGACAAAAAATAAGTGTTGACAGAAGTGAAAACATTCAGAAAAGGAGCTAGGAAAATGGAAAACTTGGAAGCTTGCTGAACAGCTGAAGGAACGCTGGGTTGTTTTACTTATTTTACGAGTGATGGCTGTCAATGCTTTTCAATTTTTCATAAAGCATACGGCAGTTATTGCTCGTAGGATACTTTAATATGCCCAAATCGGCAAATGTCATCAAGAGCCCGTTTTGCATGGGGAAGGAATGTATTTTTCAGACTGTAAAAACGAAACAAAAAAAATTTAGAGACGAAATTTGGAGATTGGAATTTGAAGGAATAGAAGTAAGTTTTCTCTCTGTGTTACTTTTGACATTTAAGTTATTTATCTATTTCAGCTTTGCTATTTCTTTTAACAGCCTGACATTGTCAGAATTGTCCGTAAAAATAAAATTGAGGTACCACATGGGGAAAATCTTAAAAAAGTAGTTTCGTCATTGAAAAAAGTGAAATTATATTTTGATAATTTTCACTGTGAAATTATCAAATATAATTTTCACGGATAAATCAGTAATCCACTGAAAAGCATAAAATAATAAAAGTATACTCAAGTCCATGCTAAACGTTTCTTTTACAATTTTCGTTGTTTACACACGCTTGAATGTATAACTTTTAAGTATGATAATTACATTTGATATGAGTAAACAATAGATCTTCATGTAGATCCAACAATTGATAATACTTTTTTACAACTTTCAGATACATGTGATTATGTTATTTACGGATGTCTTTATGTAGATCTAACAATATACAAGTTAGAGGTTCTAAACTTTAAGTGAAAAAGATAAACAAAATAATTATGATGTGTTACTTAATTAACTTTTCAACTTACACGAAGCTTTATGTAAAAAACCCAGATAATTATATGTTATTAAACTTGTTAGTGTTAGAAGTTTAAAGAAATTAACTAGCCACTGAAAATATTTGGAGACGTAAGGATGTGTTTAAAGTATTTCTATTAGCTGAAATTTTCTCTAGTTATAGAGACAATCATCTGATTTTTAAATTGATAACGTTCAATTGATAAGCTCATATTTACGAGTGCATGTATATTTTATTTAACTGGTAAGTGTTGGTAGTGTTGGTAGTTTTATGTCTCTTTTTGGTGTCATTGGAAGTTAGCTACCAATTCGTCATCTAATTAATTTCCATAACATCTAATTAATTAACATAAAATATAATTCATAAATTTATTATTGATAGCTGTTATTTATCTTCTTTACAGGACATTTACATGGTAATTAAGTGTTTAACTGGAGGCAAAATATGCAACTGTAGTTTTGGTATAAGATTGCTCTATTTGCGTGTGCCTTTTCTATCATATCTATACAGCCTTCTAATTGTGAATTCGGTTAATTCAATACATGTTATAAGTATAAGTTTTGTAATTCAAATACAAGCAAGATAAAAAATATACCTACAATATAATGCAGAAATTGCAAAATAAATCTGTGTTAGAAATTAAAAGTTTTAAATAAATAAGAATACGATTTTATCATTTTATTTTAAGGGTTAACTGTACATAATTAAATAATCTGAATATTCGTTGTACATTAGATAGTATTTTGCTATTAACATATAACTTAGTTTTCATGCAAGATTTAGCAGATAAACACTGTGATATTATTTATCCTGGAAATTTATGGGACAAAATCAATGGACAGAAATTAAACTTGCATATATTATGCATAACCAATTATGATGGAACATACTCAAAGATAATGATATACATGTAAACAAACACTCAAATTTATGTGCCGATCCCGCGTAAGAATTTTTTAACAGATAATTCTTTGCAAATAATGTTAAGGTTTAAGTAATTATTGCGTTTTAATGCGCACGAACTACTTGAAAAATGATTGCAGAATTGCTGTCACTAACGTATTATTTACATAGCAATGTGATCGATATTTTATCATGTATTCGGATATTCAAAAAGAAACGTGTTTAAACTTCGTTATGGTTATAAATCGAATGGAATAATACATACAAATGCCACATACCTGTAGACTCCATATTTTCATTTAGACTTGCATGTCATGTATTCCACGAAAAACTTAAAAGTTATTTCCATGCTCGATTTTAACTTCACTAAATACACTGTTAAAATAAACACACAAAGAATTTAACCGCACTTGCACGATTAACAGGGTAGGTTATAGATACATGTATTATTAAAAGTGTTAAGTGAACCGACTACGATAAAATCGATCAATAACTTTATCATGATAAATGATATCTTCTTAAGGTCAAATGACATATTAAAAGATGGTGTTACAATACAAAGTTCTACTTAAGAAACCTGACAAACCTTGAAAAGTAAAAGTAGCTTATCCAACATTATCGTCAATTAAAACCATTTAAATGCTAATTGTTATATACGTTTCTATTTTCTCCTTTTAAGTTTAAGATTCATGGTTTCCGGTCAGTACATTTTAGATTTTATTAAACAATAGGAAAGCAATATCATATTATTTGTTTGTTTTTTTCAGAGAAGAATGCACTTTGATATATCAGAACTAAATGTCAGCTGTTGCCACAAGGGTGCTATCGTCAGCCTGTAACTAGCTAAAACTTTTTATGACTGATATTTAAGTCAACACCATGGTCGTTCAGCGGTTGTCACTAAGTCATTGATAAAGATGTAGAAGATTGTTGGACCTGTTTCACGCAAGTGACACAGTTAAACCAGTCTCTGCATTTTCCATTACGTACATACGAAAGTGACTCTTCATTCTCTACTTGGTATTTGGTATTCTCCTAACAAATGTCAATTTTGTTACTGTTTATTCAATTAAACGCGTTGATTTGCTTTTCGAATGATCGATCAATGTACGTACATATAATCAAGGATATTAAAATTTCGATCCCTGAAGACCATTCTGCACGATTGTTGAGAGTATAACTATATTATATTTGTTGCGCGGTATTTTAGTTCCTTCTATTTGACCTTTCCCTACTAAGTGGATTCCAGTATTCCTTACTTGAATACTGTCTTATCACCTTTTATTATATCGTACCTGCTTTTTGAATTTGCTTTTTGACGTCTTGCTTACAATATGCAGGCTTCATACCTCTTTCAAAATCCCATTTTAATTAGTAACACCCATTGTTTTCTCGTTCAGGAAAGACGCATTCTTTGATTTGGTGAACATACGCCGCTTTCATTGGAATGACATTCAATGTTTCATGATAACCGCCGTATGGACACATTTCTATATTTTTCTATAATTCACAATTTCACCAATGTCATGTTTAAATGACGAATTCTGCCTAAGCAGGTGCTAGGGAACGTAGTTACCTCTACTGTACAGGCTCAATCAGCCAGAGCCTGCGACTTTTACAATGACAGTCTTTAGAGATCCCTTTTTATTATTTCATTTAGTCACTTGGATGGTAGAAGATACCAATCTGAATTATATAGTAAAACAATATTTCTACAATAAAAATTACACAATTTTGAGTTGAATTTGGTCAAATTTAATACTAATTATTTCTTTTTACAAACATTCTAAATATTCCAAATGCTTTACGTCACATATTAAACTAAGACTAAATCATCTTACTTTTGATACTGAAATTGAAATTATTATTGTTATTGTGTTATTGTTGGACCTCAAAACTGTTAAATCAAACGCTGATATCTGCATATGACTGGCAACGACATTGGTAAGCACACAGAAAATATTGCAGTTCAAATTATAGGCACTTGATGGCAATTTCTTTTTCATCGACTACCCTTTGTGACCGACTACCCACCGTGATTTTTTTTATAAAACTTTTATCTATAACACACACACACTTATCAATTTATAAAAATCTACGAAAACGTCTTTTATAAAAAAAATGATCTACTGTGTATATAATTATTACAAGGTAAGTCTTTCGTCATGTTTTCAAGCAACGGATCTGACGTCAGAATATATTAGCTGAACTGCTACCCCCACTTGATAATTAAAATGCGCGCGAACTATTGTTTTTTTAAATGACGTTTTGTCTGTAGATTTTAATTGAATTAATAATTACGTGTGTTATAGATATAAGTTTATAACAATCACGACGGGTAGTCCGATATCAAAGGTAATCGATCAAAAAACCTTTTTTTTGTCATCAAGTGTCTATGGTTCAGATAATTCTATATTCTTAAATATACACTTAAAACATATTAGTACTGACCAGAGGAAGTAAACTATATTGGTTAATAAATTACTTCCTTACTATTTATTAGAACTGAAACCGTTATGAAGGGATACTCCTTTACACCTCGCTACATTTGAAAGCTTCCAAATACTGTCGTTTATAAATTATTCATGCCGTGGAGTAAAAACATGGACATGCACTGTATAAGTTGAATCAGAATCCCCAACACGAAACAGTTGGTTGTCATTAGTCTTTCATAAAATCAACTGTACCCTCTTCTAGCTATCTAATAATATTAGTTATACTAGGAAAATGAATTGAGATTCAAATGATAAAGCATCTCTTCGATTTACAAACACGTAAATGTAACACAATTTTCCCTAATTATTTCAACTGCGATCAGTCGATTACGAATCTCGTCAAATCAAACAATTATGATCCCCGACTAAAAGTAGATATAAAACGAAGCAAATGACCTTTTCTAGTGAGTTTGCTGTCTTAAGAACTTGAATGTTTCCCTTCATTAAATGTAGCAAGCGATACCGAATTTTGATTCCAACAATATTTCCCAATATAAAAAAGTGAAAATACTTCTATTTACACTTATTATGAAAATTAAAAACAAAATCATGAACACCGGTAAGAAAAAGAAGTTAGACAACATCGAAATGGCACATGCTGCAGCCTTTTTAATTCCAACAGTTAATATAGTATAGTATCAAAGTACCATTCATAGTTTAAATTATTTCTGGTCTGCTCTTTCTATCAATGTCCGGTTTCTGTCCAGTGGTCTTGTCTTACTGGACGTTTTGGGGGATTCCATAAACCGAAGTCGCACTCGTTCATCTTTGCATCCATACTATATCCAGGCTAGCATAACATTTTATTGAAACCATCAGGATTTTAATTCAATCATAAATAAAATGTTAACTTTGCAATAGGCAAAACATCTAAAACACTGCATGTTACATGCAAATAAAATTGTTTGATACAATGTCAGCATAAACAATATACATACGCAAAATGCTTTCATTAACTTACAAATGTACATCAATATTCAAAGTGTTGTGAAACTTACTTTTTGTTTTTAAAATATTGTACATGTATTTTGTAATATTTAAATGATTGTTAAACCCGCCTGATTAACTTTATAGGGGGAGCTTCAGTAGTCTGGGATTTGCTGACTAGAAGTCCGTCAAAATTTGATAATTACTGGATAGATAGACAGCCAATGATATAACCGAAAATGTTAAAACAGGCAGAAAATGAAAAGTAAAAATAAAAAAAAATAATAAAAACAACAATTGTTACAAATAATGCACAATGGGACGTCCAAGGCCACCATATGATATTATCTTTGTGGGATCGTTTTTATGAAATAGCCATAAATAAAGTTTCGTAGCTTCAGGTTCCATCGATGTTAAACATCACTATTTCACTGAGACACATATGTTGTTTTTTATTACATGTATACCGAAACAATATTTTAGTAAAGTGAAAAGTTTATGTGAGCAGAGCGGCTAGGGGGACATAGAGCGGCCAGGGGAAAGAACAAGAACATAACATATTTAAGTCTATAAAGTAAAAACTCACCCTGTACTAAAAAATATTGAAAAATCAAAATAATTCTATTTATTTCTTGGATGATCGATATTATACAATTATTGACTAGTGAGCCATTGAAGATGATGTGATATTCACCGGCAGATGACATATTGACCGAGGCGAATTGTTTTATTATATGAATAGGCTCAGAAATAAAAAAAATCACAGAAATTACAACCTTACACACATGTACAATTTTTGCCTCGTTGAAACGCGGGAAAAAGACGCACGTGTTAGGCGTGCAACGACTACGCGCACGCTGCGCATACAAAAATAATTCAACTTTATACTCATCATTGCGGTGTAGCCTTTAAGTATAATAGTAAAGTATTGATATTTTAATCGAGAAATATGCCATAAAGAACAAAAAGCAAAAGTTATTTTTTAATTAACATGCGTAATTAACAGTCTACGGTGTATGAGAATACGAGTCTCAATCTATTTTTAGACTGGGAAAATCCAATTCAGCCAGTGAATCAGTTAATACAAGTTTGCTTCTAAAAGAAGCATGCGAGAGGTCTTTTTGCTGCTGTGGAAGATTTGTTTAATGCGAAAAAATGGGGATATTTTTGCATAAAAGACACAATGAATGGTTATAAATTACAAATATTTAACAAAAAACATTTATTTTATATATTGAATATAGTATCATAATGAAAGTTTGTTTTATACATTTTTTGAAAGATTATATGCCGGAGAAATGGACTATGCGCATTAGGGATACTTTTTCTACAAAGGGAATTAAATTTAAAATAAACGAGATATATATTAAAAGTAGTATCAAAATAAAAGTTTCTTGCAAAATTCAATAAGCAAATTTTCGGTTAAGATTTTGGTAAGTATATGTGAACATTTCCTCTACAATTTCCAAAACGGGCATAAAGTATGTTAATCAAACAATTTTAAGTCCAGGATTTACATAAAAAATGTTCATATCATTTGATTGGAATGAACAGTATATAAAGCTGCATGCCTCCAACCACAATATTTGAAGAAAATCAAACTTGAGTAAAATTTGTACCATTTGCGCCAAATAATCTCCGTTGCATTATTAAGTCATACCGGTTCAAACGTTTAAGGAGCAGCAAAGTTTCGGTACACGGTTCATTCGGTCATATAATAGTGCATGGTGATATTGTAGCTATAATGTTCACTATTACTATTTATAGGAACATGGAATAGTAAAACGCTATTCAGAAAACAATACGGTAATCGATTTATACAGTTAAAAAGATTAAAACGGAATGAAACATCCACGTAGCACTAAGTAACGTAAATGATATTTTCCGATTTTTCTATGTACCGATTTGTTCACACTGATGTTAATTTTTCGTTTAAGTAAAGTCGTATTTTGAAACGGAGCATGCGCAAAACAATATTTGTAGACTGCTCCTAATGATTTTACGCTTTAAAAGAGATTCATTCA